AAGTATTTAATTCTTGGTATTGCAATGGATTTTTTTTTTTTACAATTTTATTTTCAGATGTTTAATGACTATAACTAAAATTGATTGTTTAAATATTTCGTGGCATGGTTAAACTCAGGAGCCCTACAATATTTGTATATTACTTAATAGTTTCTAAGGAAGAGATTAAGAAAATTCTATAGGTAAATGAAAGTAAGATCCTGGATCAGATCCTAGAACAAAAAAAAGGATATTCATGGAAAACCTTGTGAAATTCATTGACATCTGAAGTTAATAGTATTATATTGATGATGGTTTCTTGGTTTGGCAATTGCAGTATGATTGTGCAGGATGTTAACATTCAGGGAAATCAGAGAGGGAACTCTGTACCATTATTTTAACTTCTGGTTAAGTTGAAAAATGATTTCAAAATAAAAAGTTAAGGTGGAATGCATCTTAATGCAAACTATAGACTTGGTTAATAATGTATGAATATTGGTTCAATAATCGTAACAACGCACCACAGTAAGGCAAGATGTTAGTGACAGAGGAAACTGTGTGAAGGAGGGTATAAGGGAACTTTCTCTATTCAATATTTCTATAAATCTAAAATCTCTTATGAATTTAAAAATGTTAAAGGGAAAAGAATGAGGAGATAATTATAATATGCTATCTTTGTAGTTTGAAAAATAGTATTCAGTGAAATTCTTACAAACATGCAGGTAATTTAAAGTTCCACCCTTCAGGAAGGCTTGGGTGGCTCAGTCGGTTAAGCAGCTGACTTCGGCTCAAGTCATGATCTCGCGGTTCGTGAGTTTGAGCCCCTCATCAGGCTCTGGGCTGACAGCTCGGAGCCTGGAGCCTGCTTCAGATTCTGTGTCTCCCTCTCTCTCTGCCCTCCTCTGCTCAAGCTCTGTTTTTGTCTCTCAAAAATAAATGTTAAAAAAAAATAATAATAAAGTTCCACCCTTGAAATACTCTGTCTCTAGGAGTCAGACTCACAGGAAATCAAGGAGGAAATGCAGTCATTAAAAAAGTATGTTTGGATAAAATCAGCACAGGAGCATTTGGGGTACTGAAAACAAACTTTGAAAGATAGGGGAACATGAGAATATGGTGTGGGAGAAAGGCTGAGCTCTTAGAAGGCCAACTGGCCAGATTTCAAATAGACATGAGGGCTTTGAGGACCAGAGTGGGCCGATCAGTCAGGAAGCAGAGCTGGGGGGTCAGATACAGTTGCTGGGAAAAGCGGTGCTAGAGAAGGCAAATGCCTCTTAACTGTTACCGAATCAGAACAGATGTGAAAAGATTGGACCAGGCTGCACTCTGAGATCTTGGCTCTCGATTTCTCCAAAGAGAGACAGGACTAGGATCAAGGGACAGTTGAGGAGCTCACCTTAAAAGCCACACACGGAGAGCCGCACGTACGAGTGCGGGAGCCGCTTGGATGGGCTACCGGATGGGATGCTTACAGAGAATCTAGACGTGCAGGGAGACGGGACCAGAAACAGTTGAGAGCCACTGTCCCCACAGAGGGCAGGGGCTCATTCCTGCCCCGCCACGGTGACACCCCCGCTCCCCAGGGGACATTTCCCGCACTATCCCGGCAGGGGAGCCTCCCTACAGTTTGGCGGGGGGGGTGGGGGGGATTCTAGGGTCCCCCGCTGGCCCTTGCTGGCATGGGTGGAGGTGGAGCCATGGTGTTTACTGTGAGGTTTGCTAGAAGAGAGACAGTATTGGTGAAAAAGTTTTCATTTTCATCTTGCCACGCTGTCCCTTTTCTGGACCTTTGGCTCAAGAAGCTTTACTTGGGGCTTTTTGTTGTCGTTGTTTTTGAGGTCCGTGCTTCTTGGCATCTCTCGTGCTGCCTTGTCTTGGTCTGTGGGAGATGAGGCAGAATCAAGTCTGGGGAGCTGACTTCCACAGTGTTCCTCTGTCCTGAGGCTGCTAGCTGGCTGTCTTCTTCCTGCCTTTCAGGGTCGTCTTCTGTTTGTTTTCCACATAACATCCAAGGGCTTTAGCTGTGCTTCGCAAGAGAAATGGGGAAAATTATGTCTCTTCCATCTTTCCAGAAGCAGACTTCAAGTTCCAGGAATTCTGCTGATTTCCATGGCAGCCCAGGAGGAGGGGTGTGGCTCGGAGTCCCTGGGTATGGGGGAGGTGGGGAGTGGCCTGGGACCCAGCAAGAGGGCAGCGGGTGGCTTAGGGGAGGGGCGGCTGAGAAGCAATTCCCCGTGGTGGGCGACAGCTGACGGATGTCACAAACGGTGGCATCTGACATTGTAGTTGAACTGATGTGAGCTTGCTCCTTGGTGAGTGACAGCTAGAGACGACATCAGGAGGAGTGGTCACCCAAAGGGAATGATTTCCAGCAAATAAGGAGACCCCAGGGGCAGGGGGTGGGGGAGCTTCCAAAGTCATGAGTCCCCAGCAAGGGTGAATAGGTTCCTGTTATTGAGGGTGAGGATGATTATTTATTTCTTTGTTAAGATTTTATTTTGTAAGTGATCTCTACAGCGAGACGTGGGGCCCGAACCCACCACCCCGAGATCAGGAGCCGCATGCTCTTCCCACTGAGCCAGCCAGGCACCCCTAGGATGATCGTTTAGATAGGGCAGCCTTGTCATTGTCCGCAGGGGCGGGCACAAGGTTGTGGGTGCGCCTTAAAAAAACATGCCTATACATACATCGCATGTTACGGTAATGGCGCTGTGCTCCTCTTTGGTGGAGGGTTTAGCCTTACAACGAGGTAGTGGGAACTACAGGTCACTCCGGGGTCACTCCGTGGCCCTTCTGCGCAGGCTCAAGTTGGGGGTGGAGCTCAGCGTGGGCTGGGTGGTCTGGGCAGTAGTTTCTTTTCCCACCAGGAGGTGCTTTGGCCTGGGGTCTTTGGCCTGAGATGAGAGATAAGCTGGAAACACGGGGCTTCAGAAAAATGGGGCCGGAGGTGGGTGAGGCCAAGCAGGTGCACAATCAAGTCAGGTCTCGGGGTCCAGCCGGCGAGGACGCTCCTTGTGAAGCTATTTCCTCCTCTTTAGTCCATTTCTTCTCCGCTCCCCCAAATCTCCGCTAAGCACCCAAGATCGGGGCAGGACGGATCAGAGGCAGGTTCTGTGTTCGAATGTCGGGCCAGTCTGAGCGTGCTAGGCTCGAGCAGGGAGCGGGTCGGAGAGGAACCCAGGGGGGCATCACGGCGGAGGCCTGCGGGTCCCTGGGTGTCACCCAGCTCAGCTTGCTGTGGGTCCCTGGGTGTCGCCCAGCTCAGCTTGCTGCGCAGGCTGCTGAGTCACGGTGAGAAGCCGCAGCCCGGCGCTGGCCCCAGCTCCATGCTCTGCCACCCACTGGAGACAAGTACCTCTCCTGAGCTCTCTGTGAGCACCCCTGCAGCCCTGGGGGGCCCTCACGCCTCCCCCAACCCCCTGCATTGCAAGGTTCCAGAGCCTGCGAAGCAGGACGGTGGCCAGCGGCAGTGACTCAGCCCGGGGCTCCAGGAGCCAGAGCTCCGGGGCTCGGGGCGTGGGTCATGGCCCCCAGTAGCCCCTCATCCACCCTTCACTCTCTGGGTTCAGCCCCCGCGGGCAGGTCAGCAGTGCTTCCAGAAGGCCAGGAGCAGCCTAACGCTGCATCAGGGTGCTGCATCACCCCCCGCCCCCTCACTCCATCCCATCCCCTGGGCATTTGTCACCTGCATCTTCACGGCAAGGGGAGTCCAGCACAATCAGATATTCTGAGAGGGAGAGAGCGCACTCACACATTTTCATGACACCCTATTGCTGTGACTGTTCTATTTTGTCATTAGTTGTTAATCGCTCTCTGTGCCTAATTTGGAAGCTAAACTTGATCAGAGTTGTGTAAGAACAGGAGCAAACCCAGTGCCTGCAGAGCTGGGTCTCGTCTCCAGGTCCCCCCGTCCCTTCCGGGTCTTGGAAGGGGTCCCCGCAGATAAGGAGGCGCCTCTGTGTCACCAGGAGGGGCTGCTGGCTCCCCACACGGAGGGGTGACACTTGGCCTGGGTGAGGGGGGCAGGGCCCGGTGGGGGAGTTCTTTCTCCCCTATCTCCTTTTCCGGTAACTGCCAGCACACCTGCCTGCGCAAATCCTCTTTGCCTAGAATCGAAGTCTCATTATTAGTTGTCGTCCCCCGGCCGGTGGTTTTCAGGAGCGGACCACGGTCTTGACCTCCAGGAGCCCTGTGCAGTGACCGTCGCCCCCCAGCCCTGCAGCTGGAGAAGCGGCCTGGTGAGGGCCGGGGCGGGAGGCCGTGCGGCGGCTGGTCCAGGGCAGGGCAGCCCGAGGAGGCGGCGGTGCTGCGAGGAGGCGGCGGCCCGAGGCATGGCAATGACGGTTTGCTCGGAGGGCTTGGGGGCTGCCGAGCTGTGAGCGCAGAGGTAGCCGAACGCTCGGGTTGCCATTAGAGAGACACGGGCACAGTGAGGTGCGGCGTCGCAGGAAGGGTTGGGGAGCTTGTCTCTGGGGATGTGTTGAATTTGAAATGTCTGCAGAGCATCCTGGCAGAGGGGACCTGGAGCTTAACCACCAATTTAGGCTGGGCCTGGGCCTGGGCTGGGCCTGGGCTGGGGCTGGGGCTGGGGCTGGGGCTGGAAGGGAGGGAGGGAAGGAGAGAGAAAGGGAAGGAGAGAAGAAGAAAAGGAGAGTCAGGCAGGGAGGAAGGGAGGAAGGAGGAGGAGACGAAAGAAATGCTTTGCTCCCAGGAGGCCCGAGCCTGTTGCCCAGAAAACCATCGAACTTTCTTCACCTGCAAAGATGAATTTCAAAGTCACGCCACCCGGTTCTGCTTCACAGAGCCTCAACAAGGTTCCCGTCCCCCACTGGCCACATGAGTGTCCTTGGAGGAGCAGGCGCAGGTGGAGGAGCCCCTTGTGACAGGCAGAGAAAACATGGGCTCCCTGAGTGCCCGCGGGTGGGCGGGCCGGGGCCAGAGCGGCTCTATAAAGGCTCCCTGGCCAGAGCCGAGGGCGGGCAGTGGCTTCGACCCCTTCACCCCGGGAAGGGCCCACAGCAATGGCCCTGGCTCTGTGCGTCTTCAGCCTGCTAGGCTCAGCCTGCTTGGTGTCGGCCAACATCTTTGGTGAGTTATGAGCCGGAGGCCATGGAGCCTCTGGGGGTCTGGAGGGAGCCCTCAGGCCACAGCCCCGAGGTCAGCCAGGCTCTGCCCCAGCGCCTTGGAACATTTGTGATCTCGTTTAATCCGCACCATGTCCTGTGGAAGGTTTTCCGATGAAGAGACAGTGGTTCAGAGAGCTGCACTAAATCACTTTCTTGAGGTCACGGAGCGGGTGGTTGGTGGGGAGGACGTGGGAAATCAGATCTTCCCAATTCAGTTGTGGCTCAGGCCTCCCCATCCTTGAATCTTGGCATGGATATTTGGTTTTATCCCCTTACCTGTTCTCGGGCCGAGGTCATCCATGTGAGGCATTTGAGAAATAATCAGCAGGTGGCGAAAAAACAAAAAACCAAAAAGAAACCCCCCAAACCCAAATCCACCAGTGCGGTGAAATAGGTGTGCGATCCAGCAGAGGCTGTGGGACCTGGGAAAAGTCTAAGCTCTCCTTTCCTCATTGCAAAAGGAAGACAGTGACACCAGCCTCCCGACGTGGCTGTGATTTCCGAGCGCGTGCCTGCAGGTCACATGTGTTCTCAAAAGATAGCACAACATGCGGGGTTACTAATTAATTTGCCTTCCCAACCTGTGCAGGGAGGGTGATCTGCCCAGAGCCAGTGGCTTAGTAAATTCCAGAACACCTCCTTTCTGGCACTTGGACGCCACCCCACTATGCTTTGGGGGAACGTGGAGACCGAGGGTTGACCTTGAATCTTTCTCTTTTCAGCCCTGTGACCTCGAGGAGGGTTGCTTTCACAGTGTGAGGGCCACGTGGGTAAATTGCAGGTGCCACCTCCCAGGAGAGGTTGAGGATTAAGAGAGCTAATGTCCTACACAGAGACGGTGCCCGGTAGGGTGTAATTCTTGATGATGTCGCCAGGAGAGCCCCCGGGCTTCAGGGGACCCATCTTTGCCACGGGAATCCCATGCACACCCCTCCCTGATCACCTGCTTCCCTTCCCCAGAATACCAGGTGGACGCGCAGCCGCTGCGGCCCTGCGAGCTGCAGAGGGAGACGGCCTTCCGGAAGCGCGCAGACCACGTTCCTCAGTGTGCAGAAGACGGCAGCTACAAGTAAGACTTCCCCAGCCCTGTGCCCTCCGGGGGGCCCCAAGAGAACGTAAGGACCCTCGTTGTGCCCTCACCTGACCCCCCCCCCCACCAGGAACGTGGCAGGTGGCCACTCTCACTTGGGCAGAGCTCACCTCTCTAAGGGACACTGGATAATGTGACCCCTGAGCTCCCCGGTTCCCGCTTCATCCCAGCCAGGACCAAGGATTTCTCTTTTCCTGCCCAGACTTTCACCCCTTTTAAAAAAAAAAAAAAAAAAAATGTTTTATTTATTCCTGAGAGAGAGAGGGAGAGAGAGAGAGAGAAAATGAGCAGGAGAGGGTCATAGAGAGAGGGAGACACAGAATCCGAAGCAGGCTCCAGGCTCTGAGCTGGCTGTCAGCACAGAGCCCGACGCGGGGCTCGAACCCACGAACCATCAGATCATGACCTGAGCTGAAGTCAGAAGCTTAACCGACTGAGTCACCCATGTGTCCCAGCCTGTTTGCTTTAATGAAAAGTGTGGGTGGGGAGTAGGTGGTGGAGTGATTTCTGCCCTGGCACCTCCTCTTTTTTTTTTAAAAAAAATTTTATTAATGTTTATTTTTGAGAGACAGAGACAGAGCATGAGAGGGGGAGGGGCAGAGAGAGAGAGACAGAGAGAGATGGAGACACAGAATCCAAAGCAGGCTCCAGGCTCTGAGCTATCGATGCAGGGCTCATCCCCACAAACTGTGAGACCATGACCTGAGCCAAAGTTGGACACTTAACCGACTGAGCCAGCCAGGCACCCCCAGTCTCTCCCTAATTTAATTGAATTGAAATTTGAAAGAAGGGGAAGGGAGAAGACAGGTAAGCTGGGGTGTGGCTTTGGGACCCACTAACACCGTCTGCGGGTGGCCTGTCTCTCCGCAGGACAGTCCAGTGCCAGGATGACGGCCACTCCTGCTGGTGCGTGGAAGCCGACGGCAGGGAGGTGCCTGGAAGCAGGCGGCCCGGGCGGCCGGTGGCCTGTAAGTGCAGAAGGCGCTGCCCCAGAGAACGAGGGTCCCTGTGACGAGGCGACTCTCCCTCTGGGTCGCTGGGTGGCCCTCTTCCAGTTAGGCCAGGAGTCCTGCACCCGAGGCCCGACTTCCTGCACGGCTGCTGTGAAAAATCCCGTGGGATGTGGGACGATTAAGTGTCAGCACCCGCCCCTGCTCTGGCCTGTGGGCTGCCTGGTGCTCAGGAGACGACGGGGTCCTTGAGGCAGGATTAGGCCATATACGCCTAGTGCTCACATCAGCTTCGGCTTCTTTGAAAATTTGCTTTGAAAATTTGCAACTTAGGTGAACACTTCTGTTAAAGTCATTATTATCATGAATGGTGGAAGAAACACAGCCCTTCCCGCCCCTCCGCAAAGCATGTCGTAGCAAAGCCCGATAACAGATGACAGCCTAGTTTAAGCAGGTCATTTTGTTTTTGTTTTTTAATGTTTTATTTATTTCTGAGAGAGAGAGAGAGGCAGCGTGAGCAGGGGAGGGGCAGAGAGAGAGGGAGTCACAGAATCTGAAGCAGCTCCAGGCTCTGAGCTGTCAGCACAGAGCCCGACGCGGGGCTCGAACCCACAAACCATGAGATCATGACCTGAGTCGAAGTTGGATGCCGCTCAACCGACTGAGCCGCCCAGGCGCCCCGAGGCTGGTCGTCTTAACGTGGTGCAACTGAGCCTGGAACCAAAGGTCTCCTTTAAGGAGGAAACGTCCGTTTTGGGCGCTGGTTGTTCGCGGCCAGCCTTGCGAGGTGGGGGCGGGGGGCAGGCTGGCTCCCCAGTGCTGTCCGGCTGACCGACCCTGGCCAGGTCCCCAACCCTCGCTGGGCTGTGGTTCAGGAACGTAGGCTCTGCCTCACAGGGTGTAAAGCGTGTGTAAAACACTGGGCACACAGTAGGTATTCAGCAGGGGTGCTGATTGTCACGGTCGCTAATCCTCCTCATGCACATGGAGGAGAGCAGTTGTGTTTCACGCGTGTAGATGAGGAGAGAGACCCGGGGTGCTGAAGGGGCTCCCCAGGGCCTCGCAGCAAATGAGCGGGCAGGGCCGCGGGAACACAGTGCGTCCCCACCTCCCCTCCGCGGTGCCCGGGGCTGGTTGACTGACGGGGCACCGTGGAGCCCGCCCTTCCCTCGCTTGGTCCACAGGATGCTGGGAGAAATCCTGGGATAAAGTCGGACGGCCGGAGCGCTGGGCCTGGGCCGGCGGCCTGCTCTGGTGACCCCCGGGTGGCTGTGGAGGGGGGCGGGGGGAAGGACGCGTCCCCCTCTCCAGGGAGGGAGCCCCGAGCGCAGCTCTGACCCTGCTCTCTGCCCCCTCAGGTCTGTCTTTCTGCCAGCTGCAGAGGCAGCGTATCCTGCTGAGCGGCTCCGTGAACGGCACGGCCACGTCCTACCTCCCTCGGTGTCGGGACTCGGGGGAGTACGCGCCCGTGCAGTGCGACCCGTGGCGGGGACAGTGCCGGTGCGTGGATGCAGAAGGGATGGAGGTGTACGGGACCCGCCAGCCGGGGAGGCCCGCGCGATGTAAGTCCCCGGGGACCCCAGCGTCGCGCACGTGCCGCAGGGTGTTCAGCTGTCCACGTGTCACCAAGACTTTGCCAGCAAGAAGGCAGAGGACCTGGCCCTCAGGACAGAGAATGGGCGCATTTTAGGAAGGCTGTACCTGGAGAGAGAGAGAGAGAGAGATGGAGACAGAGCACAAGCACGGAGGGGCAGAGAGAGAGGGGGACCCAGAATCTGAAGCAGCTCCAGGCTCTGAGCTGTCAGCACAGAGCCCGATGTGGGGCTCGAACCCACGAGCCATGAGATCATGACCTGAGCCGAAGTCAGATGTCCAACCGACTGAGCGACTCAGGCGTGCCTCGTACGTAAGAATTACAGCTTTTCCTCTGACATGTTTAGGTCCCAGGAGCTGTGAGATAAGAAACCGCCGTCTCCTCCACGGGGTGGGAGACAAGTCACCGCCTCAGTGCTCTCCGGATGGGCGCTTCCTACCCGTCCAGTGCAAGTTTGTCAACACCACAGACATGATGATTTTCGACCTGCTTCATAGCTACAACAGGTAAGGGAGCCGGCCCCTGGGGTAGGCCCACTGCTGGGCGTTCTTCCTGTCCCCTGCCACGGCTCACGCTGGCTGTCATGTGCGCAGGCTGCTGGGAGCAGGAAGCTGCTGGATGCCTGAAGGACGACGGTATTTTTAACAAAGCAAGCGGGCGACAGCCATTGGCAGTAAAAATACACGGACGTTCCCGCCCGTGCAGCCCAGGGAAATATACAGACCTGAGAGTGAAGACGTAGGCAGTGGATGTCTTCTGCCTTGTGTGTCACTGTAGCAGGGAGCTGGGGCCCAGGTGACCGAGAAGCCCAGGGTGGGTAGCTGCAGGGGCGTGTACCCCCAGCAGCGTTTGTGTGGCCATTAGATAGAACGCACTGCAATAAACCGGTCAGTTTGGATGGATGCTGCAGCATGGATTATGCTAATATGATAAAAGGTACAGGGCCCTTGGGTGATTTTCCTTTTTGAAAACAAACAAGCAAACACCCTTTCATGTGCCTGTACTATGACCCGATGGTGCCAGGGCCTGTTCAGGACTGGCCGAGCGCGGACGATCGTACAGATCGGCCTTCGCTGGGCGGCTCTCGCGGCCGTCGCTGGTCAGGTTGACGTGGAGAAGCAGGAGTAGGGAGAAGGGAATGGGCAGAAGAGGGAAAAAGACATCACAGTTGCAAGCACGGATAGGACTGTATTCGTGCAGTTGTGTAAACTGTGTGTGTATATGCGCCTGTTAAATAAGTTTAAATTTTTTAATGTTTATTTTTGAGGGAGAGAGAGAGAGGGAAGAATACTGAGTGTGAGCAGGGGAGGGTCAGAGAGAGAGGGAGACACAGAATCCAAAGCAGGCTCCAGGCTCTGAGCTGTCAGCACAGAGCCCGATGCGGGGCTCGAACCCCTGAACCCTGAGATCGTGACCTGAGCCGAAGTCGGAAGCTTAACTGACTGAGCCGCCCAGGTGCCCTGACCTATATAGAAGTTTAAAGATTTAAATAACAAATGTTAAAAGAGAGATACGGCATAGATTTTGGCCCGAATAATCAGACAGCTTCTGGTTATTCAAGATGGCTACTTTCGCACCGGAAAGGGCCAGCAAAGACTTCAGACATGACTGAAACGTCCTGAGTAAAAGCAGTAAGCATGATAGGCTGTGAAAACTGATGGAAATTCTCTGGGAGAACCTTGATGTGGCTGGCTTCCAAAATAACGTGTTTCTTTCCTTCTGCAAGAGAGAGAATCCCCAGAGGCTGTGCTGGGGCGGGGCGGGGGGGGTGTCACAGGCTAGAGGCCTGGGCACAAGGACCGTCCCTAGAGAAGTGTTATTTGAACTGCATATTATTTTAAGAACTAGAGAGTTTCAAGTTAACGCTATGCAGTTTCTGCTCGTGGAGGTAAAAAGAGTTGACCATATGCAATTTCTTACGTTTCACGTTAATACACAAATGTCTGAATTCCTGAATTCTCCCATGGCCCTAAGAAGCTGGCCTTGAACTTTTCTTTTTGGATGGACACACAGTCCAAGGCTCCGGGTCCCTCGAGGCGTCCTGTCCCTTTCTTCCATCCGCATCACCTGCCTGGCCCCAAAGCATTTGCCTTTGTGACCCCCATTTGAACTCTGCCACCATGTGGCTGCATGGCCCGAGCATTTACCCTCTCTGCGTCTCTGTGCTTCAGTGTCCCCATGTGAAATGTCCCCAGAGGGACTGCTCACGTAGCACCCAGCTTCAGCAAACGTGAGCTAGGGTGTTTCCCTTCCCAGGTTTAGAGAGTCTGGCCTTCCTGTGTGCACATAAGAATTTCCAAACAGCCTGAATTACTGCTACTGGTTGATGCAAACTAGTGTGTGCTCAGTTCAAGTTCAGCTGAGTGCTTATTATATGCAGGCAATTTGACAGTCTTCTGCCCACTTCAATGTTTACAAAAAATAATCGGACAGAGGAGGAGTCTGAAAGACAGCGCTCACCCCGGGAAGCTCAATGAGTGGGCGCCAGAGCTGTCTGGCTCCGTTCGCTCTCCCACACAGCCTTGATTCGACTCTCTTTCCTGCCGAGCATAGCGCCCAGTAGGCCTGCAGTCTGTGCTTGTAGTCAGCCTGTGTGCCAGCTTGAGGCACAGTTCACAGCTCCTTCCACAAGAGGGCAGTCGAGTTAAATGCAAACGTTCACGACTAAACATCCATTGTTTCAGACAGACAAACACGAAAAAATGTACTGCCGAAATGGAATCCTTTCCCTGATGTAAGCCAGCATGTTTCTGGGGGAATCCCGATTTACGAAGGTCCTGGGAAGGTTGGCTGGTTGGTTACTGGAAGCCCAGCCGTAGTCAGGGATTTCTCACTGACCGGGGCAGTGCCAGGGCACGATTGTATGTAGAAGCCACAGAGGCTGCATAGAGAGTCTAGACTTAGTACCTAAGGCTGCCGATAAAATAAAAGACGGCCAGTTATATTTGAATTTCAGAAAAGCAAGGAGTAACTTTTTTAGTAATAATATGTCCCCAATATTGCATCAAGAATTTTGAGCCTGGGTGTGGAGATCGGTGTATCTTGAGTTTAGGATAGAATGGACTGGCTGGGGAAGAGCAGAGTGGGTGCTTGGCGGGGGGAGCTCTGTGAGCCTGGACGCTCCTGCCCTGGTCCAGGTAAGAGATGATGTAGGCGTGGACTAGAGCACGTGATGAAGGGGGCTGTGCGTGTGTGTGTGTGTGTGTGTGTGTGTGTGTGTATGTGTATGTGTACGCGGTGGGGGGGGGGGAGGGACAGGGTGGCTGGGGAAACATTTCCAAGGTAGAATCTTCAGCACTTTTTGAAGGTGGAGGGTGAGCGAGAGGAGTCAAACCAAGGTCTGGCTTCTAGATGGATGGTGGAGGACGAGTTTGGAAAAGGAAAGTCACAAGTTGGACTCTGGAAGATTGAATCTGAGAGGATTTCTTTGGGAAAGTCAAGTGCAGATGTGACATGAAGCAGTTGACTTGCTGGCATGGGGCCTGGAGGGGAGGCTGGGAGCCTGTGGGGAGCCTGTCCGCTAACTGCTGTGGGTTCTTAAATGTGCTGGGCAATGACGCGTGCTTGAATGTGGCTGTAGTGCTTGCTCATTTGAAGAGGCCCTTTTCCCTCCTGAAGGCCACGGCTAACTACACCTGTTTGATGGTGACTTAGAAAAACCACGAATGGTGATGAGTAAGCTTTGCTAGTTCACTGACTCTTACCTGCCTTTCCTCTTTTTTCTTAAATGTTTTTCTTTAAAATTTATTTCTGAGAGAGAGAGAGAGAGACAGCGTGAGCAGGGGAGGGTAAGAGAGAGAGGGAGACACAGAATCTGAAACAGGCTCTGAGCTGGCTGTCAGCATAGAGCCCAACAACGGGCTCGAACCCACGAACTGCGAGATCATGACCTGAGCCGAAGTCGGATACTCAACCGACTGAGCTACCCAGGCTCCCCTTACCTGCCTTTCCTATTCCCCTCATCCAATCACTAAGTAGGGAAATGCTTTGTAGGTAAAGGTCATAAAAGCTGATGCCATTGTCAAGGCCTTAGTGGTCCGAGCTCAAATTCAGTTAACTTTTTTTTTTAGGCCTTGTTGTTAGTGACTAAGCAAACTCAAATTTCCTTAGCAGCCAGACTACCCAAGGACATAACCCCTTCTAGTCAGTGAGAAGGATCAGGTACATCTTTTTTTTTTTTTTTTTTTTTAATGTTTTTATTTATTTCTAGGAGAGAGAGAGAGACAGCGTGAGCAGGGGAGGGTCAGAGAGAGAGGGAGTCACAGACTCCGAAACAGGCTCCAGGCTCTGAGCTGGCAGTCAGCACAGAGCCCCACGCAGGGCTCGAACCCACGAACCGCGAGATCATGACCTAAGCGAAAGTCGGACGCTTAACCGACTAAGCCACCCAGGCGCCCCGGATCAGATACATCTTAATGCGTGGCAAAGGGGCATCACAACCAGAATATATGGAAAAGTCCTTGTAGACTGACCATTGGAGACCTCCGTGCTAGGTCACGGCTCCTACTTCAAGGAGCGATCTTCCGGCACAGGAGAAAATAAAACGAATTGCTGATTTATTACCGGATGGCTGGATTTCTGGAGGGCCTGTCTGGGGGTGGCGTGGAGAACTTGATCGAGCTGCGGGGTCGGCTACCTGAGCCCAGGGCTTGGAGGCCGCTCTGTACTCGACCAGGACCAGGTGCCTGTCAGAGCCTGACGTTCCGTGTTCCACTGAGCCTCAGCTGTGTGGTTTCTCTAACTCTGGATGCGAGCATAAGCCCAGGCCTACTGTCCTTTCCCCTGCACTGCAATTTTCCCCGCCGAGCTTACGGTCATTCTGAGCTTTTGCTTTTTATTTAACAAGAGGGACACGTCCTTTTCCACTAGATGAATTATGCCCTTTTTGGTTTTCAAGTCCCGTGTTGATTTTTGCTTCCTCCTTTCTTCGGATGCACCCGGAACTGGAGAGAAAAGGAAAAGAGAGGAAACCGTAGGGGAGGCAAATAAAGGTAGAATACACGAGTGAGCCACAGCAAAGGTTGCATGTACCTTTCATTCTATAAAGTGTTCTTGTCACAAGTATGAGGTGCTGTGTACTTAGCTCTGAGAGTCTTAGAACCAGAAGAAGAGAAAGCAGTCTAAGTCCTTTGGTTTCCGCCAGATGAAAGTAAACCTGTTTTTCAGAACACAATCTTTTCTTCTATTGACGATGGGCGACGCTTTGCTCCTCGGATCCTCATAAAAGGGGGTGATGCCCTGTGCCAGAGGGTCCTCTGTGACTTGACCACGTCCTGATGCCAACATGACAGTCGGTTTCCTCAGCCGCGGGGCCAGAAGGGGAGGGGGCAGGGCACTTTAAGGAACAGTGTGTCCATGACAGAGATGCTTGGGTCCCGAGATTCTCCTCCAGACCTGTGCCTCCTCCCCCAAACGACTGCCAGTCTCTCAGCTGTTCCTTCTGCCCACGCTGCCATCCTCTGCCCCCTGCTTTGAAGCTGGAGACGGGCTAAAGATCCTTGCAGACATGTTCTCCATTCTCTCCTCGTCAGATCATCGTTCTTAGCTTTGCCATCCCACTCAAGACCCACGTCTTCCGGAGCCTTCTGTGGCCCTACACCGGGTTCCAAACTAGCTGGCCCATGTGTTAGGATGCCTTTCTCCCTTTCCCATGAGCCTCGGGTTCAGTGTTCGTGGTTGGACGTTTGCTGGGGTGGCAGAGAAGGGCTGGGAATCCAGTGAGCAGGAGGTGGGAAGTGGGGCCAAGGCCCAAAGCACCAGTGACAACAGCGAAGCAGCCACGAAGCCACCCTTGTGTTACCTGCTCCGCTGGGGGGAGAGTCCGAAGTTTGTAGCGGGGATGCCATTTCAGAGATCAGCCACGAAAATCAGATTATATCAAATTGGACTCTGGGAACGAAGGAGATGGAGGAAGATGCAGAACTCGAACTTCCTGTTGGGTGCGGTGCGAGGTGCCCCGAGGACTGGGCTTTGTCTCAGAGGCGGCCCCCCCATCCCACCAGCTTCGAGTGTCGGTGGGCTTGGAGCGCCCGCTGGGCATTGGGCCTGGGCCTGCGCTGGGTGATCTTAACCCAGTCTGTCCACCACTCCGAGTGCCAGCATCATCATTCGCAAAGTGCGGCTTTGTAAGTGTTGTGAGGATTGAGATCAAGCGAAGAGGGTGCTTGGTCCAGTGTCGGATCGTCTGGTACGTGTCCCCCATCATTATTTTCATTAGTAGTAATTAACAGCAGTGACCACACACCCCCAGACCCTGAGCTCTTTTCAGTGCACACAGAATTGGCAAGGAGGGATTACAGGTGGTGGCGCGGGGGGTCTTCCCGGGAGGACCCCCTACAGCTGAAGCCACAGCGGTCTCCAGTATGCGAGGCGGGGATGGCGACAGTGAAGTCCATGCAAAAAGCACATGGAGGCCCAGGAGGCGGGTAGCTTCTAAGACCGGAAACCCGAGCAGGAAGACTTTGTCCCTAAAGTAGTGGAATGAAGACGGCTCAAAGTTCCTGCTACTGGCACTGGCCCCGGGTCGTGGCGCTGACGTGGGCCTTTGGGGTGAGTCGGCAGAACACGGGCCTAGAGGGATTGGAGCTTCCTGTGTCTCGTGTTGTTACGGGTTCAGAGCCCAGAGCCAGCCAGGTGGCCCGTCCTTGTGTTCTCCAGCACGCAGGTGCTCAGCGTCTGTTAGCTCTCGGGCAAGTGCACACAGGGGAACGCGCCAGAACAGAACGGAGACGCGTGCCTTCCAGAATGTGCGACAGGAGCCAGGTGCAGCCAACACGCAGTGCATCACTCCGCTGGCGGCCATAGGCAGCACGTGGCGGCGAAGGCCTGGGTTTACACTCTCTCTGCCACCGCTGTTTCAAGATGGTGGCCAACATACTTTCCACCTTCGTAACCTCTAAAATGGGCACGAGAAAAGACCACCTGCCTTTTAGGAGTGTTAAAGTGGGTTAAACAAGTCAATGTGTATTAAACATTTGGCAGATTTTACAAGATAGTGCGCAATGAATGGAAGTGATTATTATACTATTATTAGCTCTCTTAGAATTGAATTATCCCAGGGGCGCCTGGGTGGTGCAGGTGGTTAAGTGTCCCACTTTGGCTCAAGTCATGATCTCACGGTTCGTGGGTTCGAGCCCCACATCGTGCTCTGTGCTGAGAGCTAGCTCAGAGCCTGGAGCCTGTTTCAGATTCTGTGTCTCCCTCTCTCTCTGCCCTTCCCTTGCTTGCACTTTGTCTCTCCCTCTCTCTATCTTTCTCAATAATAAGTAAATGTCAAAAAAAAAAAAAGAATTATCTCAGGTTTCAATTCATGAGTTCTTAGCATAAACCTCTAATCCATGAAACTGAGTGAATCAGTTTTTAGCTTCTGTTATGCATAACTCACTTACTATAATACCCCTTTTTATTTAGCTTATGGATACACAATGATAGACCAATAACATGGAAAAAAAAACCATAATCCCACAGTGATTTTGTAGGCTTGCTGCATATTCATTCCCATGCAAATTAGCTAATACTTTTTGCGTCCCCGTTCAGGCTCCGAGCAATTCTTGTGTTGTCCGTTGCCTTCTAGTCCCGATTCATTTACGTTGTGGTAATTGCGGTGTGTGTCCAGGCCATTTTGCAGCATATCCTCTCTATGTAATGTGATGCATGCCTCCATTGAGGAAATTTACTCTAATTTACTTCTTCATTTTCCTATCACTGGACATCAAGGTTGTCTTCAGAATTTTGCTGGAATAGATTCCGCAGCAATGTCTCTGTTTGTGCAGGGGCTGCTGCTTTCGCTAACTCATTGTTTGAGGGTAGATTTCCGGACATAGGTAGGTGCACCAACCCTATAGGGTGTGAAAACAAATCTATCGGTGTTGCATAAAGATGAAAACTGCCTCTCCGGTTGCTCAATCCTTGCACACGGGAAGAAGTCTTTAATAAGGTTTTATATCACCTCCGCTTCATCTTGCTTCCAGGATGGGAAACCCAGCCAATTGGCGCCTTATAAAAATTGCCAGGTCCGATCTGGCTTGGGCACCGTTTCCCTGCACTTCCAGAGAGGGGATGCAGAGCCCTGTTGTGGTGTCATATTGATTCTGTGTGTTTTGTCCAACTACGGAGCTGGGAAGTGTCCTTCAGCATTTCCTGTGGTGGAATCTGGCTTCTTTCCAGGCTCTGGAAAAGTCGTAAAGGGCTCTGAAGTTGTTTGACCTCCCCAGATGAGATCATCTACAGTGTACCATGTGTGTGTACAGCAAACTTGGCTTCTAGTCCCTAGAGTTATAGTCTAGTAAAGTCAGACTCTGGCGTGGTGACGTCATTACCTGTTTTCTGCCTGATCCTCTGAGACCCATGCGTGGGTATGAGTTGGTGAAATGCCATACGTGGGAGAAGTGACTAGTTAGGAGGTGACAGCTGGGCACAGCTTTATTTCCATCTGTCCAGCCAGGCAGGTAGAAACCCGGTTTAGAAAAGAAACACATTTCCCACAAGAAACACGGAGCCAATGGCATGTGGTAACAAAAAGCAGATGTTCCTTTTCCATAGATGAGATGAGGCCACACGTATTTGTTTTGCAAGAAGAGCCCGCGAGGATTTGATGAGGCAGGGAGCAGACGTCTCCTTCTCTCTTAGGTTTCCAGATGCATTCGTGACCTTCAGTGCCTTCCGGAACAAGTTCCCCGAAGTGTCTGGGTATTGTCACTGTGCGGACAGTCAAGGGCGAGAACTGGCTGAGACAGGTAGGCGCACCTCAGGCAACCTGAGTGGGGAGAGAGGCCCCCTGCGAACCTGAAAACCTAAGTATTGTTACCTGCCAAGCACAAAGAGCAGTGCCTGGCTGCTTCTGGCTGATCCGCACAATTTGCAAATGCTCGTCTCTGGTGCCTGGTGCCCAGCTGCTGGCCGGTACGGAGCCTCTGAGCCCGTGTGAAAGAGGCGCCCTGCTCTGGGCAGATGCAGCTCCGACCCTGGAGACTGGGACACTGGACGGCTTTTCCCTCAGCAGCGCTCCTTTGTGAAGTGAACAACCTGCCCGACCGCACATGGCAGCCCTGCCTTTGGAGACTAGTAAAACTTTGATCAGGCCGATGCCTACTGATGGCCGGGAAGGCTGTGGGCCTCCTGAGGTCTGGTTGGACGGCAAGTCAGGACTTCCCGTTCTGAATGAACCCATCTCTTAAAACACTTCTGTCTTTGCTCAGGGCTGGAACTCTTACTCGATGAAATTTATGACACTATTTTTGCTGGCCTGGACCTTGCGTCCACCTTCGCTGAAACCACGCTCTACCGAATATTGCAGAGGCGGTTCCTCGCAGTCCGGCTCCTCATCTCTGGCCGGTTCCGATGTAAGTAATAAGCCGACAGAAGCCGTGCGTGTTTCTGCTTGGAGGAAACCACTGGGTTTTAGAGTTGCTGTAGTTCCATTGATTTTTTTATGTTTATTTATTTATTTAAAAAAAATTTAATGTTTGTTTATTTTTGAGGCAGAGAGAGATGGATCATGAGTGGGGGAGGGACAGAGAGAGGGAGACACAGAATCGGAAACAGGCTCCAGGTGTCAGCACAGAGCCCGACGCGGGGCTTGAACTCCCAAACCATGAGATCACGACCTGAGCCGAAGTCAGGCACTGAACCGACTGAGCCACTCAGGCGCCCTTATGTTTATGTTTTCTTTATTTTGAGAGAGAGAGAGAGGGAGGGGGAGGGAGGGAGAGACTCTCAAGCAGGCTCTGCACCATCAGTGCAGAGCCCGACGCGGGGCTCCACCTCATCATCGGAGCCGGAATCAAGAGTCGGCTGCTTCACCGGCTGAGCCACCCAGGAGCTGCGCGGATTTGCACGTTGTACAAGCAAGCAGAGTGCGTGCTGGAGACCCCGCGGCCTTGTTTACACACTGTCCTCTCCTCTGCCTGGCTCTGTCCTAGGCCCCACCAAGTGTGAAGTGGAGCGCTACACAGCGACCAGCTTTGGGCACCCCTACATCCCGAGCTGCCGCCAGGACGGGGACTACGAGGCGGTGCAGTGCCAGCGGGGAGGCCCGTGCTGGTGTGTGGACGCCCAGGGACAGGAGATCCATGGAACTCGGCGGTCGGGGGAGCGGCCATCTTGTGGTGAGCCTCCTCTTTGGTCCCCGTCAGGCCATATTACTGTAACTGTGTCCCCAGACCAGCTACTCCCGAGCCCAGTAATTCCGCTGCCCCCTGAATGTACCCCAGAGACCCTTCAAGCCCAACATGACGGAAAACCCATTAATTACCATTAACTTCCAACATGTGTCTCATCCTCACGGTCGCTTCTTTCCTCAGGGAGCTCAGAGGATATTGGGGGCCTCAGGGGTGAAGGGAAAAAAGAGAATTATGTGTACTTGTGCCATGAGAGAAGTGTGTGCTGGTAACTGAAGCAGTGCAAAGCAGGGTAGGGTCAACTCGATCTTGTGAAAGTGTATGAAGAGGAGATGTTCCAGGAGGCTTCATGGAAGAGGTGAAGTTTGATTACAGTCTTCTTTTTAAAAATTTTTTTTAACATTTATTTATTTTTGAGAGACAGAGCATGAGCAGGGGAGGGGCAGAGAGAGAGCAAGACACAGAATCTGAAGTAGGCTCCAGGCTCTGAGCTGTCAGCACAGAGCCCGATGTGGGGCTCAAACCCATGAACCGTGAGATCATGACCTGAGCCAAAGTCTGTAGTGTGGTCAGTGTGGGGTGCTGCATGTGAAGAGTAGGGGAAAATGGCGGGGATGAGACTGTGAGGTCTTTCATGCCGAAGCCAAGGCTTGGGGACTCCCTCCTGGAAGCCAGGTGAAGACGCTGAGAGGTTTTATGCTGGAGAGTTCCACGGTGGGTTCTGTGTGTGAGAGAGACCATGTGGGCATTTGAAGGAGAGCCTGAAGGCAGTACTAGCCTGCAGGCCACGGGACCAATTTGAAGGCCATCGCAATGTCCTGAAGAGAGGTGAGGGAACTATATGACTTTCCCAGAGCCTCTGTGGTAAATGACCACAGATTGAGGGGCTTAGAGGTCTGGACTCTAGAAGTGAGTCCAAAGTCAGAGTGTCAGCAGGACCATGCTCCCTCTGAAGGCTCCAGGGGAGAATCCTTCCTCACCTTTTTCCTGGCTTGTGGTAGTTGCCGACAGTTGTTGGCTTTCCTTGGTCTGTGGCAGTGAAGCCTCAAATTCTGCCTCTGTCATCACACGGCTGTCTTCCCTCTGTGTGTCTTTCCCTGTGTTGCTTCCTCTCTTCTCGCCATGACACCGGTAATAGAAAAGTAAGAGCCCACTGTACCCTAGGATGACCTCGCCTTTACTAATTGCATCTCCAGTGACCCTATTTCCAAATAAGGTCACATTCGGAGGTTTCCAGAAAGGATGTGCGTTTTGAGGAGACACGATTCAACCCAGTACAGGGACCAGTACTATAGTAGAAGTAGTGGTCTGGGGCGAAGGGTGCGGACTTGAGAAATATCACAAGGCACTCCAGTAAGGCTAGTCTATCTCACCAGTAAGATCCTGAAGGGAGTTAGGGGTGAGCGAAATGGAGTCCAGGAGCGCTTGCAGGCTTCCCACTTGGGTGAGCTGGATGGATCCCTCAAGATCTCAAACAGTGAAGAAGGAGGGCAGGTCTTTTTATTGCCTCAAAATAGATAAGCATTCATGTTCATTCAGTCATTCCTGTTAAGTCACTGATTTCACCATTTTGAGTATTCTGCACGGCGTTTGGTAGTATTCAATCTGCTCGGTGTGAGGATGCAGGAGAAGAAATGTTTCAAGCCCTGCCCTGAAGGTATTTGTGATTATGTTGTCGTTGTCTTAAAACTTGGAGAGAATGGTGCCCTCCAATTTCCAGGTGGAAATGAAGAACTATGGTTTTCCAAATTAAAACCAGAATGTTACCAAATGCGTGCATCATAGATTTATATTTTTTCCCCTCTGGAGTATCAGTCCTATTTCCGTGGAAATGAATGCCACATGGAACCAGTATCTGATTTTTCTTTTTTCTTTTTTTTGCCTTGGTAACACTGCATAACAAATGAATGGAAGCGACAGGCGTTTCACGTGGAAACAGAATAAGCAAAGCAGTGAACTTCACTTCTTCCATACCTTCCTGTAATACCTTCCATTCAAGGAGGCCACGCCCGGTTGAGGGATGTGTTACGCGTTCTGATCTTGCCAGTGTTTTTTCTCTCTCGGACCACATGTTCCAGTTCTTTCTCTGTTGCCTGGTTACAGAGGGAAATTGGCCGACTTCCTTTCTGGCATCTGTGCGAGCTGAAGGAAAGGAATTATTTTAAAAAGTTGGGGGTGGGTGGGTGGTGGAGAAGGACCTCCAAGATTTATGGTTTTGTGGAGAAATGTGCAGCTCACTTAATTCCACCTGTGTGATGGAGACGCTTCGAATTTGAACTTAAAGTCTTGCTTCTTCATGTGATTACTGTCAACCTAGAATATTTGGACAGAATGACCTGACCAAGCAGGGAGTTGACTGAGCTGATCACCCTTTAATTAATGATTTTCAAGGAAAGGTCAAGAAGCCCAGAAAAAACATGCTAAGTATGTTTGCTGCGTAGACATTACTGTATTATATTGTGGGAAATATATTTCCTACAGTATGTTGTAGTGTTATAGATTACAACATAGGAAAATATTTCCTGTTATAGAAAATACTAATGGCATTTAAAATATGGTTCTTATCCTCAAAGAGACTATCAACTCGTTAGCCTAGACAAGCCTATGCACAAGGAGGGATTAGGCAGCTGCACGAAGAGCAAATGATGAAACATTAAAATCCATTAAAAATTCCAATAAGGGAATGCTGGGAAAGAAAAACGCATTTCATTAAAAACAAATGGGAAATAGGAGGCCTGGGTGGTTCAGTCAGTTAAGCGACCGACTTCAGCTTAGGTTGTGATCTCACGGTTCGTGGGTTTGAGCCCCATGTCGGGTTCTGTGCCGACAGTTCAGAGCCTGGAGCCTGCTTCCGATTCTGTCTCCCTCTCTCTACCCCTCCTCCCCTCATACCCTATCTCCCAAAAATAAATAAACATTAAAAATATGTTTAAAAAATAGAAACAAACAGGAATGTGTTGGTGTATGGGTTCCCTAAGGCTGCTGTAACAAATTACCACAAACTCGGTGGCTTAAAACAGTAGAAATTGATTCCCTCTCTGTCTGGAGGCCAGACGTCTATAATTGAGGTGTTAGCGGGGCTGAACTCCCTCTGAAATCTCTAGAGAAAGATTCACCTTTGTCCTGTCCAGTTTCCAGGGGCTACCAGTGACCTTGGCTTTCTTTGGCATTTGGTGTTCTTTTCCGCATTTTGTTTGGCATTCTGCCCCCATCTTCATGCGGCCGCCCTATGACGACATCCATCATTGGATTTAGGGCTCACCCCAATCCAGTGTGATCTTGTTTTAACCAATAGCACCCGCAAAGACCCTACTTTCACACGACGTCATGTTCTGAGGTTCTCGGTGGACGCGAGTACTGGGCTGAGGAGGCATTCAGCCCAGGACATTTGGTGCATGCGTTTGCTCAGGTTTCCAGAAAGTGGGCCGGTGCCAACGAGCCTCGTGAGGGGGTCACCCTCTCGTGAAAGGTGGGAAGGGAAGTCACGTTATTTGGAACATTCACTCCTCCAAACGGCCACCACAGACCCTGCTTGGGCGAGAGAAAAAATACATGAAAGGCTAGACAAGAAAGTGCGACAACACATAGGTGTTCTTGACTGAACTGTTTGACATCTTACTTCTAGAAGGATCTGTGGGGTGGTCTGGGAGCACTTGTTGATGTTAAAACCATTTCTCTCGTTTGCTCTGTCTCGTGCAGCTGAAGACCGTTCCTGTGGCTCCGAGAGGAGGCAGGCCCTGTCTAGACTACACTTCGGGCCCTTGGGCTACTTCAGCCGGCGCGGCTTGTTCTTGGCTCCTGAGCGAAGCCAGGTCTCCCCAGGAGTGGCCGGAGTTGCCGCATCCTGCCCGCCTGTGGTCAAGGAGCTCTTTGTGGACTCCGGGATTCTCCACCCGATGGTGGGAGGGCAGGGTAAACAGTTTTCTGCCTCAGAAACTCTCCTCAAAGAAGCCATCGGAGCGATTTTCCCCTCCCGGGAGCTGGCTCGCCTTGCCCTTCAGTTTACCATGGACCCAAAGCGGCTCCAGCAAAACCTCTTTGGAGGGAAGTTTTTGGTGAACGTTGGCCAGTTCAACTTGTCTGGAGCCCTTGGCACAAAAGGCACATTTAACTTCAGTCAGTTTTTCCAGCAGTTTGGTCTCCCAGGCTTCCAGAACGGAGGGGCAGATGGAGCTGCTGAGGCTTTCTCCTTGGGTTTAGGTTCAAATCCTGCCACGGAACCCCCTGAGGCCTCTGTGAAGGGCGCTGCTGGGGACAGGCCGATGGTGGGCAGCTTTGGCTTTGAGATCAACTTACAAGAGAACCTAAATGCCCTGACATTCCTTGCGTCGCTCCTGGAGCTTCCAGAATTCCTTCTCTTCTTGCAGCAGGCTACTTCTGTGCCAGAAGACATGGCCAGGGACTTAGGTGACGTGATGGAAATGGTGCTCAGCTCCCAGGGCTGTGAGCAGACACCGGGCGGCCTTTTCGTCCCGCTGTGCTCGGCGGAAGGAGACTATGAGGAGGTCCAGTGCTTTGCTGGAGAGTGCTGGTGTGTGGATTCCCGCGGCAAAGAAATTTCTGGCTCCAGGGTTAGAGGCGGACGGCCCAGGTGCCCCACCGAGTGTGAGAAGCAAAGGGCTCGCATGCAAACCCTCTCAGGCAGCCAGCCCGCGGGGTCCAGCCTGTTGGTGCCTTCCTGCACCCGCGATGGGCAGTTCCTCCCTGTCCAGTGCTTCAACTCCGAGTGTTACTGTGTTGACGCTGAGGGTCAGGCCATTCCTGGAACTGAAAGTGTGCTCGGAGAGCCCAAGCAATGTGAGTCTGTTGAGCATTCCGTCCGACAAACCCCGATTCTCTCTGGGGGCCCCGATGCAGTGCATCACGGAAAAAGCGAATTCTGTTGTTTAAGTGGCTGCTTCCACCATGGCGAAAACTGCCGGCTAACGTAAAAATTGTCCGCAAGCGGGTCGATACTGTTAACCATTCCCATGATCGAATAGGGAGACTCATTGGGCTTTTAGGGGCCGCCCCATAGGTTCCTGTGACACTGACACTAGTCTCAACAGTGCTGATTCAGGAATGGGGATGCTCTCTGGCTAGAGGTTATTGACAGATTGGAGGTTGCTGGGAGTTCCGTGGCTCTATGAGGTGTCTGGGGGGCTCGGACAGTCAGGGTTTGCACGTCGGTCTTGCGGACTCATGGAACTTCTTCACCTGACATCCCTCTTGCTCTTTCCTCCCAGGCCCCACCAACTGTCAGTTAGAGGCCGAGCGGGCCTTCCTGAGTGCCGTGCGGGTACTGAGCTCTGCCTCCAGCTCGCTGCCCGTCTTCTCCAGCATCTACATCCCTCAATGTGACGCCAGTGGGCAGTGGAGGCCTGTGCAGTGCGACGGGCCCCCGGAGCAGGCCTTCGAGTGGTACGAACGGTGGGGAGCTCAGAACGACCGTGGCCAGGAGCTGAGCCCTGCCGAGCTGCTCATGAAGATTGCAAGCTACAGAGAAGCAGCTTCCAGAAGCTTCCATCTCTTTATCCAAAGTCTGTATGAGGCTGGCCAACAGGGCATCTTCCCGGGGCTGGAGAGATACCCTTCTTTCCAGGACGTCCCGCTGGCAGTGCTAGAAGGGAACCTGACCCGGCCTGGAGGGAACATCTTCCTGGAGCCCTACGTCTTCTGGCAGATCCTGAATGGCCAGCTCGGCCGATACCCAGGGCCCTACGCAGACTTCAGCACTCCTCCGGCACACCTTGACCTTCGGAGCTGCTGGTGTGTGAATGAGGCAGGTCGAGAGCTGGAAAGCACGCGGACAGAGCCAAACAAGGTCCCAGCATGTGAGTTGAGCCACGTGGGGAGCTGGGTTTGTGCGTTTATAAAAAAGATGTCTGGTAGGCGGGTGCTGAGTGAGCTGGAGTGCAGGTCACATAGGGACAGGGGCGTGTCCCGCCAATGCCCGAGGTGCCTGGATGCTTAAGCCGGCTCTGGCCGCTGCACGGAGTACCGTAGACTAGGTGGCTTCGCCAACAGCCATTGCCCATAATTCTGCAGGGTGGAAGTCCAAGATCAAGGTCGGCAGATTGCGTTCCCGGTAAGAGGTGTCTTCCTGCCTTGCAGAAGACCACCTTCTCACTGCGCATTCACGTGAGAGAAAGCGCTCTGATTTTTTCCTCTTTTTATAAAGACATGAATCCCATCCAGAAGACTCCACCCTCATGACCTTCTTGAAACCTAATCACCTCCCAAGGGCCCAACCTTCAAGTCCCATCACCCTAGGGGTTTGAGCTTCAACACAATCCATTTTGTGGGGACGCGGACATTCAGACCAGAACACCCAGAGCTCACAGAAAACAAGTGATATCCCTACAACCACACACTTGGGTGCTGACAAGGTTAATGTAGTTCAGTTTCTTAATGTTTATTTAGTTTTGAAAAAGAGAGAGACAGAGCATGAGTGGGGGAGGGGCAGAGAGAGAGGGAGACACAGAATTGAAGCAGCTCCAGGCTCCGAGCTGTCAGCACAGAGCCCGACGCGGGGCTCGAACTCATGAGCGGTGAGATCATGAACTGAGCCAAAGTCCGACGCTTAAGCAACTGAGCCACCCAGCCGCCCCAATGTAGTTCATTTTTAAATGTTCGTATGATCCATAATTTTAATCAACATGGCAAATTTAATTGGATGTCGTCTGTGTGCAAAGCATGATCTCAGGACAGATGAAGACTACCAAGCGGGTGTGGCCTGGCATTTGCGCACTATGGCTAACACTTCAGTACCCTCTTGTGAATTCGGTGCACACCATTTGATTAACCGACACGTGTTATGATGCTCCTTACACGGACACTGCTAAGTCCTCCAGACCTCATGAAGTGCACCTGCCTTCAAAGTGCCTTTACTTTATTTGCGGGGTTTAAGTACAGGACTCATTGGGGAGCAGTTGAAGGAGGTTTGTATGTTCAGTTCTGTGGTGGGTGGACTTCGAGGAAAGCTGTGGCGTGTGAGGCAGGAGCAAACTGAGGCTGACTCTGAACTCAAAATGGCTTATGACACCGTGGCCACGCCGGCAGCTTGAAAGAACAAGACAGATTCAACAGTTATTATCAAAAGAAAACCTGTGTATCCAGCTGTTGCTAATGTTACAGGTAATAGTATAGCTCTTCAAGCCCAGAGACATCTCTCAGTCCATTCTCTGCAATGTTCAACACTGTCCACACCTTTCCGGATAACGTTAAAATTAATCGGACGCTGTTGACATCAGCCAGATGTCAGAAAGTGAGTTTTTAGGATGTTGGGACATAGGAACAAGTGGTGGGAAGAGCAGTAGACCTGGGAGACCCTCTCCCCCACCACACTCATGACTGGGATTCTCCACCAAAGTGTCAAGTCCCAGCAACAGGCTGATCCCCCCCAAGTCACACATAGATGTCGACTTACCTGTTGTCTAAAACGTGTTACACAGTTTTTGAGATTCTCTATACCAATGGTCAGGTCTGCATGGGTGCATTCCTGCAATTTCAGATGCTTTAAGACTAAAGTTAGTTAGTCCTTTTTGGATCCAACTTTTTAGCCTGAGTTGCTGAGAGAGACCAAAAGCACTTTGTAGCGTTAGTAGCTAGGTTTGCCCATCTTGGCCTGAGTGCCAGGCAAAGCATCAGAACTGAGCTCAGAATATGATGGGGCACCTGGGTGACTCAGTCGGCTAAGTGTCCGACTTAGGCTCAGGTCATGATCTCACGGTTCGTGGGTTTGAACCCTGCTTTGGGCTCTGTGCTGACAGCTCAGAGCCTGGAGCCTGCTTTGGAGTCTGTGTCTCCCTCTCTCTCTGCCCTTCCCCCACTCATGCTCGGTCTCTCTCTGTCTCAAAAATAAATAAACTATAAAAAAAAAAAAAAGGAATTTATAAAAAAAAAAAAAGAAAGAAAATATGCTGGGCTTTGCGATGGGTACCAAGAGGTGGGGAGGGGAGACCACCCAGGGATACATGAGAATCTGCTGGGAAGCCAGGATTAGAGCACCGACCTGCATGTGGTGTCTGTTCTTTTCCGTCTAAAGTTCTATTTTTGGTTTTGTAATTACATGTTATTAACAGCTGACGAAAACCATACCTAATATATTAACACAGTTGTACATATATTCGCTTTACAAACACAGAAATATGCATTTGGGGGGCACACGTTCAAGCTCTTGTCTGTAGGGCATATTATCAAAGGGGTATGGCGACAGTGGGCTCCGAGCCTTGATACCCCAGGTGCGGTTCAGTGGCGTCAGCATCACTTTGGGGAACTGTTCGAAATTTGGAACGTTGGACCCCACCTGTTGAATTCATGCCTGCATCTTCCCAAGCCCCCAGGGGACTCTGACGCTCCCTAAAGCTTGAGGAGGGCTGGCCTCAAGGCCCGGGTGCTAGTTCTACCCAGGTCTCGAGCCCTGTTTCCACCACCTACTCCTCTGGGGTCATAGTCACAACATTGTTTTAATCTGTGAAGCCTGAGTTAGGATGAAGAACTACGTCAAAGGTCACTATGAGAATTGTGCAAGGTGATTGCTGTAAAGTGCCTGGTCTGGTTCATAGAAAGTCCTTCATAAATAGCTGTATTAACCCAACGGATGCTGAGTAATAAAGGGACCAGTAGCTTCCTACCCATAAGCAGCGAGGTGGCACCTGCCTCCAGGGGCATGGGGTCAGGTCCTGTCCCTATCATGATCTCTGGCCGCTTTGAAATTTTGCTTTCTTTATTTAATATGCAATTGTGGACAACTACTATATACACTGTGCTGTATGGTGGGAAGGCAGACATGAGAAAGGCGTGGTGTCTGCTCTGAGGGGCTCAGGGACCAGTCAGAGGGGAAACTGACACGTCATCATGTAAATGATAAACAGAAATGGGGGAAGTCTGAGCACAGAAAACCAAGGAAGAATGCCCAGAGACCCAGGCTAACTCCCTGGTTGGAGAATTGGGTAAAGATTTGCATGGCATCAGCTTCTGGATTGTGAAGGATGTTTGCCCAGCTGAGAAAGGGGGACAGGCCCTTCCTGATCAAGGAAATAGCATGTGCCAGGTTAGGGCAGCTGAAAAAGGGTCTGCTTTGTTGGGAATGTTGTGGGGAGAAGGTCAGTGTATTGGACGGGAGGGATCTTGGGAGGGAGAAACGGAATAAGCTGAAGGTAAATTTGGGCCAGATTTTAAAAGGTCTTATGTGTCAAAGAAAAAAAAAAAAGCCTTACATGTCTAGTTATAGGGTTTTCATTCTTTTCTGGAAGATATGGATACCAAGCATAGATTTTTAAATGGGAGTTTCTGCTTCAGCAATTCCCAATCCCTGGGATTGATAGAATAGATTATTTGATCAGGATCATCCACAGAAAGCAGTGAAGTCTTCGAATCCCAGAAGCCAAGGGTTTCTGCTGCTTCTGTACTCTCAGAAGAACCAGTGAACACATTCACTGTTGAGTTCACAAAGTGATTGGTTGAAATAAATATGTCCAGTGTGGTTTTTGTTAATAGTGACATTTTTAAAAACAGCATATGCCAAGTACTTCAGCTGGAACACCTCATAGAATAATTATAGAAACCCTCTGAGGAAGAAGACTGAAGCTCAAACCATGTCATCCAAAATTACACAGCTCATAAGTGATCAAGTTGATATTTGGATCCAGAAGTCTCTGAGAGCCATGCTCTTTTCTCTTTACAAGAGTAACTCTCTACTGACCTATGCCTCCCTTCAACCTTTGATATCTATCCATCCACCCATTCCCCCATCCATCCATCCATCCATCCATCCATCCATCCATCCATTCATCCATCCAATTATCTACTCCCCCGTCCATCCATCCACTTATTGACTCCCCCATCCATCCATCTGTCTGTCTGTCCATCCATCTATCCATCCATCCACTCCTCCACTCATCTGTCCATCCATTTACTCCCCCAACCATCCATCCATCTGTCCATCCATCCATCCATCCATCCATCCATCCATCCATCCATCTACTCCCCAACTCATCTGTCCATCCATCCGTGTCCATCCTTCCATTGGAGGCAGCTAGTTCAATCTCTGGTTCTAGAGTCATACTGACTAGATGGGAATTCTGAATCAACTACTTGCTAGCTAGGATGGAGCCTACATGACTTTAAGTTTAAGTGATAGGACTTCTCCATGCCTCAGTTTCTCATCTGTAACACATGAATAAGAATAGTATCTTAGTGGGCTGTTGTATAGAGTAAATTGGATTATCTGTGAACATGTGCTTAGTACAATGCCTGGTGTGGAGTAGACATTAGCTATTGCTCACCTTCTTACACAACAGGTCCTCCATAAATGTTGAGGGAGTGAGATTGTAGAGAGGAAACTGAAGGAACATTCCAGGCTGTAAAAAGAGCTGGGTGGAGGAAACAGCTGTGGCAGCTATGTGTGCATGTGTGTACGCGCACGCGCCTCAGGGGTCGAAGCATTCAGCCATGATGTCTTTGTTCCCCTAGGTCCTGGCTCCTGTGAGGAGGTGAAGCTTCGCGTCCTGCAGTTCATTAAGGAAACAGAAGACATCGTCTTGGCTTCCAACAGTTCTTGGTTCCCTCTAGCGGAGAGTTTCCTAGCGGCCAAAGGAATCCGGCTGACTGATGAGGAGCTCTCCCTTCCTCGGCTCTCTCCCTCCCGAGACGCTTTCTTAGAAAAGTTTCTGAGCGGAGGCGATTATGCCATTCGTCTGGCAGCTCAGTCCAGTGAGTCTCGTGTGCTTCGGGTTTCTTGGTCCGTCTCTTTGGGGAAGCAAGGGCTTGAGTTAGTTGCTCTTCAGTCCTCAGAACTTTGGCCTTGGTTTTCCCAGGCTGATGGGTCCCTGAGACAGAAAAGGCAAAGTGGTTCTGGGTACCAGCCAAAGCTTAGAATGGTGCACACCTGTCCAGTATGTTCCCGAATCCACCAGCACAGCCCCTAGGGAGCCGCTCCCCATGCCTCATAGTGCAGAGGGCGCTGGCAGCCAACCATGCACCCAGACACGCTTGCTGGAATGTGAGGGGCCCCAGCCCGAAAGGCTCAGGGCCTGTTCCGAAGCTTCCCTCTGCTTCCAGCGGGGACAAAGGAGAGGAACATTTATTACCAAGGAACGAGTGGCTTTCTGGCACTTTCCACATAAGACCTCAGTTAAATGTGACAGGACCTCGGGAGAGCATGGCTTACTGCCTGCTCGTGACAGACAGGGCCCCTCGGAGAGCTGATGGTGCTCTAGCCCATGGCGGTGGCTCAGCATTGCCTGAGCCCCACAGCTGGCCAGGCGCCGCCGCGCTGAGTAGGTGGCCAGGTCTCTGTGTGTCGTGCTTCAGCGGTTCCGTGAGAACAGGCTGCAGTCACCGTCTGTGGTTCCTCTTGTGCCCAAGTTCACACGCCCCAGTTGACCCAGCTAATAGCCAGCAGAGCCTGGATGGTTTGGACCCCGGGCCTCTGTCCCCTGCCCAGCTGATCCCTGGTGCCCAGAGCCTGCGTCTGTCTCGTCCCGGACCCCTTGCTCTTCCTCCACCACCAGTGGCGTCTCTGGCAGGAGTGTCCGACGTCTCCCCCGGGTCTCTCACTGACCCCACACCGAGTGGGCGGGGGCAGCCAGTGCCGGACTCCAAGCATCCCGAGCTCCCCGGTCCCTGTGAGATGATCTGGGTGGATTCTGCATCTGGGGTTTTCTGGGTTTGGGTCACACCACAGCAAGGCCGTGCTCCCCTTGACGACATCGGTGCCAAGATGAGACCCCCCATCCTGCAGGCCAGGGCCCCCCCTGCCTCTCCCTTTAAGGGTTCTCCTGGGGGTGGGGGCTCAGGGCGTTTTGTTCTCTGCACCCCAGTGAGAATCTCTCCAAGTGCCATCATCCGTTCCTGCCTCTCTCTCACGCCGGTTGCCACTTCTGGAAGGTGAGGCACCACATCTTATTCAACTTCATATCCCTGGGGGTATGAAGACAGATAGCGGGAGTCTGTAAATGTCACTAAACCATCCTTCCTGCCTCTTCTGTCGCCTCTTTCTCCTCCCTCCCCTCTCCCTGCCCAGACACTTGTCTCTGTTCCTCAGAGACTTGGGGATTTCTGCTTTTGGCAAGAAACTCCCCACCCCACCCCCCAGTTTTGTCCATGGGCAAGAGTTGGTGTAATCAGGAGGCTACGTGGGGTTGATGCTCCTGTGCCTGTGGCCCCTGGTTAGCGAGAGGAGGAGAAAAGTTGGCGCCATGGAGATTCCATTATTGAATGGCGTGCTGGCACTTTCTTCAGACATCAAGTTTAGGAAGTCCGCACCCCCTCCCCCGCAGCAACATGCTCTGGTTTTGCATGTCTGAGGCGGTAGTGAAAAGAGGAAGGATCCGTAGGGGGGAGCAGGGAGGGGCGCTCTTCTTTCTCGAGTCCTTCAGGTTGAGAAGAGGTGTCCGCACGCTTGTTGAGGAGAGGAGGCTATGCGTGTTGTAGCGCTCCTGTCCTGGGCGGCCCGGGGATTGAAAGCCCAGGACAGAAAGAGAGGAAGGGTCACAGAGTGTCTTGGGCCAGCAGGACATGGCAGCAGTGTCCTCAGGCCCAAGGAGGGGAGGGGACGCAGGAGTCCTTCACCCAGACGCTCTTGGCGTGAGCTTGGTGCTCAGGCTCTCATGATATAAATGTCATGCTTACCCTGCTGGCAAAGTATCAGAGCCATTCCATCAATTGGGAAACTGAGGCTCAAAGAGGTTGGGGAGCTTACGACCCCTAAGATCACTCATGATAACCAGGAGGGGCCGCGGGGATTTAGGCAAAGGCTCATTGGACTCATGAGCCCCATCACACCCACCAGGCTGCTTTCTGGGGTCCTGGCCTCCTGAGAGGATCTGACTGTGGGCTGCTGGGGTCCCCCTGGTGAGCTGTGAGCCCATCTCTGAGAGGAGCAGGTGACCTATGTGACCCACACCCCCGCACCCCGCCAGCAGGAATGGGGAGGAGGTGGCCGTGAGAAAGGGTGTGGGGACAGTTCCGGGCTGCTCAGGAGGGAGGTGGCGCTGGGGACAAATCGCACTGGGGAGGGGGAGCCGTGAGGCCAGGGCCAGCGGGCATACGTCTCACCCGCCACCCCCCTTCTCCCCCCTCGCCCTCCCACCCCTTCCCATACCTGCCTTGTTTTCTTTTTTCTTTTCCACACAACAAATATTTCTTTCTTTTTTAAAGTTAGTTCACATACAGTGTAATAGTGGCTTCAGGAGTAGAACCCAGTGATTCATCTCTTACAGTAACTCCCAGTGCTCGTCCCCACCAGTGTCCTTACTGCCCATCCCCCACTTAGCCCGTCCTCCCCCGCAGCAGCTCTGTTTGGTCTCTGTATTTAAGAATCTCATCTGGTTTGCCTCCTTCTCTCTATTTTATTTCTCCTTCCCTTCCCCTATGTTCATCTGTTTTGTTTCTTAAATTCCACCCACGAGCGAAATCATACTTGTTTTTCTCTCTGATTGACTTATTTCCCTTAGCACAATACACTCCAGTTCCATCCACATTGTTGCAAATGGCCAGATTTCATTCTTTTTGAATGCTGAGTAGTAATCCATCGTGTGTGTATGTGTGTGTGTATGTGTGTGTGTGTGTGTGTATACACACATCTTCTTTATCCATTCTTCAGTCAGTGCACATTTGGGCTGTTTCCATACTTTGGCTCTTGTCGATAGTGCTGCTGTAAACATTGGGGTGCCTGTGTCCCTACAAATCAGCACTCTTGCATCCTTTGGATACGTACCTAGTAGGGCAGCTACTGGGTCATAGGATAGTTCTACTTTTAGTTTCCTGAGGAGCCTCCGTACTGTTCTCCAGAGCGGCTGCACCGGTCTGCACTCCCACCAGCTGTGCAGAAGGCTCCCCTTTCTCCGCATCCTTGCCAGCTCCTGCTGTTGCCTGAGTTTCAACAAATATGTCTTGAGAGTTTCCTATGAGGCAGACACAGCCCTACGCCCCAAATAAGCACAAATCCTTGCACTAACGGGCTTAAGACACACATGACGTCTAGAATGCCAGTAGTGGAGAGCGCGGTGAGGGACAGCCAGGCAGGGCAGGGGACGCCGAGCAGGGAGGATGGAGACAGCCTGATGGCGAGGTGAGCGTCTGTGAGTCACTGGCCTGCCCTCCCCTGAGCCCACCCCACACCCTGGGGTAAGAGCACAGACGAGCTGGGCTGCTGGGAGACCAGATCCGAGTTCGTGCGGAACAAAGCCTTTAAGGGGCTAGAGCAGCGACTGTAAGAGCATGGGGTCACCGCCTGACTTCTTGCGTTCAGAGCCGCTCCGTCCCCTTCCTGGCCACTAGGTTGAGGGAGGTGCATAAACACACCTGTGCCTCAGTTCTGTCTCGGGCAGCCGGGGTGATGTGGTTGCTGTGAGGACCCATTAACTGGAGCCTACATTCGGATTGTGCCTGGCATGTAGGAAATGTCGCATAAATGCTGTCTATGGCTCTGCTGTCTCATGGGCCAGAGGACACGTCGCCTACCTCATCGACTCCATATGAAAGTGATTTGAAAGAGGGCAGCAGAGATCGCTTCAAACCACAGCCTACTTTATTTATTTATTTATTTATTTATCTATTTATTTATTTATTTTTGAGAGAGCCAGTGAGAGCGAGTGAGCGCTCTTAAATACACTCTGCCTCTGGCATGCAGAGCCCGTCCCAGGGCTCGATCTCGCGAACGCATGAGACCATGACCTGAGCCGAAATCAAGAGTCAGATGCCTCACCAACTGAGCCACCCAGGCACCCCTACATTCTTATTTTTGCAGGGCAACCTGGTGAGTGCGTCTCCCCTGTTTAAGGAGCCGCTGTCATATTTTGGGAGGCACTGTTTGTCGCGTCAGGAAGGCGGCCTCCTTATGCTGGAACAAGAATGCGTGTGGGGCTCGTCGAGTCTTTTCCAGGGTGGAGGCTCACCTCTCCACTCTCCTCTCTCCTGACTCCAGCCCTTGACTTCTACCAACGACGTGGCTTCCTCCAGGGTGAGGATTCCTCACGAGCGTCTGCTGTCCCGCGGCCCGGCCCTTACGTGCCCCAGTGCGATGCATGGGGGCGTTGGGAGCCTGTGCAGTGTCACGCCGGGACTGGTGAGTGGGGACGGACACCCTGGGGAAGGGGGCCAGGACTGGAGAGTGGGCATGGACACCCCGGGGGAGGGGACTGGGTGACATCCTCCTATTCATTTAGAGGAAAGGGCTTGGCCCTGGGGCCAGTGAGCTGGACTCCAGGCCCTTCTGGCAGCTGGTGACAAACGCCTTAGTTCCTCTGGACTTTGGTTTTTCCCATCTGTGGGAGTTGTGCCTTGCCATCCTGAAGGTCAAGTGCGTGGTTGCTGGGCGGATTGGGGGCGAGTGATTGTGTGGAGGATGTGCAGGCACTGCTGTGGGTGCACAGAAGAGAGTTTTGTGTGAGACCCTGGGAGCAGGCCCCCCGCCCATCGGTGCACGTCCTGAACCTCTGACCTGTGCTCTTCCCCAGGGTACTGCTGGTGTGTGGACCAGACAGGAGAATATGTCCCTGCCTCGCTGGCTGCTCGCTCCCCACTGACCCCCCGGTGTAAGTGAAGCTGAGGAACTGTCCCGCCTGACCCTGCGTATAGCTGCCATTGTATTTTTTCTAGGCTGGCCATGCCCGCTGTTGTCACCCCACCTTGGGGGAGGCTCGTGAGTCAGCACCCCGGTGCCCTCAGGCCACCCACCCAGGGCAGCCAGGCCGGGCTTTCCCGCATTCCCAAGCCCAGAAGATTCCCATGATCTTGGCCCATCCTGATCTGTGCACCTGGCTTCCTAGGTGCAGAGAATCACCCGCGATGGCGAAAGAGCCCAGGGTCCCCTTCCTCATGCCTGCCCCCAGGGCCTTTTCATCCCCTTTTGCAGTTTTGACAACTGTCTCACACTTGCCCAACAGGCCAGCCTCGCCCTGCATGGGTCTCTGCCCCTGAATCGTGGCCTCCTCCTCTGAACCTCCATCTGTCTGTGCAGGGCACCTCCACCTACCCCGGCTCAAACCTCTGACACCCCAGGCCCATTGGGGCTCCCCACCCTCCCCGGGCACCCACGGCCGGTCTGTTAAGATTCCCCTCCTCTCCCTCAGGTCCCACCACCTGTGAGGCAGCTCGGGCCACTGGGCTGCTTTCCAGCTGGAAACAGGCTGGGTCCCAGGGAAAGCCATCTCCAAGAGACCTGTTCGTCCCCACCTGCCTAGAGGTAAGGCTCCAGGAGCACAGGGAGGGTTTGAGGGGGGGCCGGAACATTCCCCCAGACACCGAGGATGATTTTTCTAGTGTTCAGTACACTTGTTTTAGTTAAAAACTCATAGGTCGTTCTAAGCCTGGGTTTTTGTCTTTACCCTGACAGACCCTGGCTGTGTGACCCTGGGCAATTCACTTACCTTCTCTGTGCTCCAGTTTGCTTTATTTTATCCTGGGACTGGGCCACACTTTGATCCTGCCTTGTGCTAGGATTGCTTGGAGGCCCCAAGGAGTATCTTCCATGAGAGCTCTTTGCAAAATAATCTGCACATAGGGAGTTGGTGGCATACTTTCCCAGAAGTCATGGTCACCATGTACGGCCGCCGTATCTGCTTCTGCATGTAAATGGGAGGCATTAGAATATTACCAGCTTTACACGGCTGGATGGTTGTAGAATGGATGTAAAAAGCCCCCAAAGGAAGGATTCTTGCTGGAGTCTTAACCACTTACGTGTTGAGTGATGGCGATCTCTGCTCAGGCCCCAGAAGTTTCTGAAGGGCAGATGAAATCAGCCATGCAGAAGTCAGACTATGAATCACTGAGCAAAAGTGATTACTCTTTATTATTACTCTTTATTGTTGCTGCTGTTTGGTACGGTGGACACGGACCCCAGTTACTTCTGATTTTCATAGAGAAATTGGCCTCTTAAGCTTATTGTCTTGGCTAGCAGGAGACCGCAGCTTCTGACGGAGGGAATAGTGATTCTGAGCAGGCTCAGAGCAGGTGATCTCCCGCCCACACCCTGTGGAGGCCCCCAGCGCGAGGGATCGGGACCCACGCCTTCCACAGCCCAAACTGGACGGCTGTGCCTTTGACCTAACTCCCTAGGAAAGGTTAAGTTGATGACTAGAATGTTCTAATTTTTAAGCCGTTTTAAAAAAAATGTTTATTTTTTTTGAGAGAGAGAGAGCGTGCGCAAATAGGGGAGGGTCAGAGAGAGAGGGAGACACAGAATCTGAAGCAGCTCCAGGCTCTGAGCTGTCAGCACAGAGCCCGACGCGGGGCTCGAACACATGAGCAGTGAGATCAGGACCTGAGCCGAAGTCTGACGCTTAACCTGGGCGCCCCTCAGTTTTAAGCCTTTATCGCCTAACGTTTTCTCAGAACTTCCACTTGGCTTTGTGTCTTACCTGTAGAGCTCACAAGCCATGCAACGAGGGGCGCATCACCTGATTTCTCTGGGTCTCTCTGGGGACAGAGAGTGGGGACAGCAGGGTCCCTGCCTCCTAGGGATTCCCCACTCCTGAGCATGGGGGCGATTAGCACAGGGAGGCCCTCGGGGTTATGTTCCCGTGAACGTCGGGTGTTATTACTGTCACTTCTGGCCTGCGAACAAGGCGCAGCAGAGCGTGACATGAGAGCAGCCAGCAGCAGCTCAGGGAAACAGCATGAGCCAGGAGCGCCGGGCCCCTGGTTTCCTGCCGCACCCCTGCTTCTCCTTAGGATTTTCTGTTACAGACGCGGGAGACATAACACTTTCTACAGTCACGAGTTCCTAGAAGGAGTGTGTGCAAACATCAATCTAGTCCTGCCTCTTTTTTTTCCAGTGGGGAAACTGAGGCTTCCCTGGCCTTGCTCAGTGCTTCCCAGGTGGTCCCAGGGCAGTCTGGGAGAGATGGGCCGGCCACATAAGGTCCGGGTAGCTGCCTCCTATGGATTCCTTTAATCTCTGTGACAGACGCTAAAGGTTCCCTTTCTCCCAGGGACGCTTGTTGAAAATCATTTCTGGAACTGGGGGGACCTTGGTTCAGGATGGCGGCTGGGCTTTGGGGCCGGATGGGTTTAGACCCGGCCTGGCTCTGCCATTCTCTATGCTGCTCTGTCGTGTCCCTTCTCTGAGCCTCAGTTTCCCCCACCCTAGGACGCAAGTACTGTGGGCTGGCCTCCTGGGGTGATGGTACCCATCAGTTCAAAGAGCGGATGTAAAGGGTCTTCTCCACCTCTCCTCTCTCTGTTCCGTGAAACCATCCCCAGTGGTTTTGGAAAGGGACATTCTGGACACGTGCCCGCCAACCCGTGGGCTGCAAAAGTGTCTTCCGTGGGGTGACACGAGCTCGGCCTTGTCTCAGACAGGAGAGTTTTCCAGGCTGCAGGAGTCAGAGGCCGGCCCCTGGTGTGTGGACCCAGCCTCTGGAGCGGTCACGCCTCCGGGCACCAACAGCAGTACCCCGTGTGAGTAGCTGCGCCTCCCCCTGCCCCACCCCCGCCCGGAGCACTGGGTACAGGTCCCCGATCTGCTGCTTATGGGGCTGGGGGAGCCTCTACCCTCCCTAGGCCTCAGTTTCCTCATCTGTAAAATGGGGACTATATGCCCTCCCTTCCATGGGTTCTTGAGAAAGACACACGTGGAGGGAGTGGGCTGGGCTTTGTAACCAGGAAGCACAAACCTGCACTCTCACCCCTCACCACCCCCAACCCCTCCTCCCTGCACCATGATTCCCTGCGGAAGTCACCATGATATCCCCGAAGTGCAGATGCGCTCTGCCTCCCCCGGGCTCCTCAGGGCCTGGGGTCCTCCCCGCGGCTCATCGGCCCCTGCGCATCTGCCTCCTGCACCTTCCTTTGCTTCTCTGGTTCCTTCCTCTCTCGCGCTCAGGCCCCGGGTGTTGTAAACTCCAGCCAGACTTTTCCAGAAGGTGAACGCTGCCTTCCCTCTGGGCCTTCACGTGTTCTGGTTCAGCCACCCGCACTGCTTGTCCCCTCCCCCGCAATCCCTACACGGATCGCGTGTCAGCCCCTCCGGGGCCCCTTCGCGGCCTTCCTTCCAGAGCTGAGCGCAGTGCCTTTCTGCGGGTCCCAAACAGCCATGCATGCGGCCTGTGGCCCCCATCACTGTCAACCCTAACCCTACTGCACTCGCTAAATCCCCTTCAAGATGCGAAGTTTCTCGAGGGCAGGTAGTGCGTGCGTGCGTGTACGTGTGCATGTGTGCATGCACGTGTGTGTGCATGTGTGTGCGCGCACGCGCGTGTACGTGTGTGTGTGTGGGGAGTATGGATTTGGGCAAGGCCCAGTCTTTGGCCTGTCCTGGTCCCGCACCCCAGACCCTGGAGGGCCCTGCAGGTGGGCGTGACAGGTGGCAGGGCGTGGTGGCAGCTCTGTGGGCCGAGGGCCCATTTGGCTTGTTTTTGTGTCCAGGCCCGAGCCTCTGCGAAGTGCTCTCGAGTGGAGTCTTCCCCAGGAGAGCCAGCTCTGGCTACGCCCCAGCCTGCAGGGCAGAGGACGGAGGGTTCGCCCCAGTGCAGTGCGACCCGGCCCAGGGCAGCTGCTGGTGTGTCCTGGACACGGGCGAGGAGGTGCCCGGGACCCGCGTGGCCGGGAGCCAGCCAGCCTGCGAGAGTAAGCTGGGGCCCCCGGGGGGCCGCCCCGGGCCGGCTGGTGGGGGTGCCGCTCGTCTCTTCCTTTACCCAGGCCGGGAAGGATCCTCGAGGCACTGGAGCTTGGGGATCGGGGTTGGGGGGGAGGTGGGGAGGGGCTGGAGGGCTGTGGTTCCGGTGGATTCTCACGATGCCGAAACTTGTGTCTGCTTCGTAAAAGTGCTCAGCCCTGGAGCCGAAGTCAAGGAAGGTCTGTGGGGGGCTCTCCAGGGCCAGCGGCTCAGAAGCTGGGGTGCTGGCCTGCTGGGGGGTCTGGGCCTCGGTCTCCCCACCCCCGGATGGGAAAGGAAGGGCGTCTGATGGTAGGATCTCAGAGGAGTGGGTCCGTCCCAGCTGGGAGGCTTCAGAAATGTGTGGAGGGGTCGATGTATTTATTTTTATTTTTATTTCTAGTTTAAAAAATTGTTTGGGTATCAAATATTGAAATATGTGTCATATAGCTGTGTATTAGAATATTGAAATACACGGTTACGTATCAAAACACATTACTTGATTATCAATTCCCTACCTTTTCTTTCTCTTGTGTACTCAAGTCACAGGACATTAGAGTCATTTTTAAATTTATGTAAGCAAGTAGGTTAGGCTATCTGTGAATTCCCTTTCAGGACAGTAAAGGATGATGTTGCAAAATTTTTATTGCAAATTAGGGCATTGAGTCTGGTGGGATGGAGAAATCTCACATTACATGATTCTGATTTCGTTGTGGTTGCCTTTATTTTGCTGTCCTTATTGTCTTTTTGCCTTATTTCATTTTATTTATTTTTTAATTATTTATTTTGAGAGGGGGAGAGAGAGAAGAGAGAATGAGAGAGAATGAGCGAGGGAAGGGGCAGAGAGAGATGGAGAGAGACGGAGAATCCCAAGCAGGCTCCGTGTGGTCAGCGCACAGAGCCCGACGCGGGGCTCGAACCCATGAAACTGCGAGATCATGACCTGAGCTGAAATCAAGAGTTGGACGCTTAACCGACTGAGCCGCCCAGGCGCCCCTGCTTTATTTTAAAACTCTGTGTCTGTAAGCAGCATTTTGGAACTGCAGACACGTTCAGTTAGGCCTGGTGGTTTATACACATAAAAGGAATGGATTTGTGTGTATTTGTAAGTTTATATTTTTATTTGTAAAGAGACAGGGGGAGCCTGTAAAGGAAGGGGGGAAGGAAGAGCGTACCCCTTTCTTCTCTTTACCGGTGTCTAGTGCCCCTCTATGCTGTGCCCGTGCCTTTCACGCCATGCATTTCCTCCCAAGCCCCGGTTTGCCCCTCTGTCCAGCGCCCGCTCCAAGGCAGGACCCTGGCACGCTCATGGCCGTGGGCCTTGGCAGCTACCACCATGCAGGAAACGTGGCATGTGCCCCATGGGCATTTACAGGTGGGGCTCCTTGCCATGAGCTTCGGGCAGAAATACAGAGTCAGCCTTAGATTCCGTGAAGACAGTTGGCATCTAGCAGTGGCCCTTGCTGCCTGGGACCTCGGAACCTGACCGATGGGTCTCCCTCAGGAATAGGTCTGGAAGCACAGCTCTTGTCAGGTTTGGGAAGACCTTGTTCATCACGGGCCTGCAAGATTCCATGGCAACAGCTCACAGGTGCAGAGGTTTACCCACTGAGAGTGGCCTTTTCACATCCCTTAGTTTGTTTTTGCCTTCCAACCATGCCGATAAATGCAAAGGACAGTCCCATCTCCCCATATTATGGATGGCAAAACCGGGGCTCACGGACATCCCTGAACACATGCGAAGCCACACAGCTAGCAAGCGAGGCAGCCAGCGTTAGCAGTAAAGGCCCTTCCTCCTGAAGCACGGCAGAGCGTGCTCAAGGAAACTCAGATGCGGGAAGCCAGATGGACTGGGTGTCAGCTCTTCCACCCCCTTGCTGGGGGACCTCGGGCTAGTCCCTTAACCTCTCTGAGCCTCAGTTTCCCAGTCTGTGAAATGGACGGGGAGAGCTGTAGCAGTTTCTTGAGTCGTTGTTAGGGTGAATTCAAATAGTCTCTGTGAGCTTCGCCACCTGGTGGCTCGGAGCCTGGTTTCGGGGGCCATGCCTGGCTCCCCAAGGACTGAGCACAGTCAGGTTAAGGTTAAGGTCCCCCATGCTTTAGGGTCCTCTCCTGTGGGATGAGGGTGTGACAGTGGTGCCTCCCAGAGTCGCAGTGAGGATGAGGCTGGCTCATGGGAGGCAGTCAGGGCAGCAGTGACACGTGGTCTACGAGAGGGGTGTGTGAGCAAGGTTGGGTGGGGTGCAGGCGGGCTCCGGTTTCCGCTCTGCTCGCTGGCGTGTGACCCGGGGAAGGCCACTTGGTCCCTTGGAGCCCCCATGTCCCCACCTCTGAAATGGCCTCTGCCTAAGCCAGAATAGAGCCAGGGCCTTGGAGCTATCCGTAGGCAAAACCCAGCGTGGAGGGCTCTGTAAAGGACATGCCGGTGGCCAGGGGGCAAGGAGGGGGGTGTGTTCCCATCTCTGAACAGCACCAGGCAGTGGTGGTGCCTGCGGGGCTCACTCAGTTCAGCGTCCGACTTCGGCTCAGGTCCTGATCTCATGGTCCGTGGGTTCGAGCCCCGCGTTGGGCTCTGTGCTGACAGCTCAGAGCCTGGAGCCTGCCTCAGATTCTGCATCTCCCTCTCTCTCTGCCCCTTCTGCTCTCGTGCTCTCTCTCTGTCTCTCTCAAAATGAATACACATTCAGGGGAAGTGTGGCCCTTGCCTGCTGGGGGTAGCGGTTAGCTTCGCAGGGCCTGTGCTCAAGTCCTGGCTCTGTGTCTCTAACTCCTCAAACTTCCATTTCTTCATCTATCAGAGGAGGATGAAGATACCACGGCTGCCAACTTCATAGGCTTATTTGGCATAAGGTATAATTAAATATCGATTATGACAGGGCTCCCAAGCTCTAAAATGCATGGCAGACGTCAGCTCTCAAGGGTGTAGGAAGCTCAGCCTTTAGTGCGCTGACCGCTGCTTCCTTGCTCCGGAAGGGTTAGTTCACATCCTAAAATGCCCAGTGCAGGCCGTGATGTGTGCTTCTTGTCGTTAATAATCATCATCCTCATAATGAGGACTCACATTAATGACTGTTTTTCATGTGCCAGCAGCTCCTCTAAGCTCTTTATGTCCCTTAATTCATCTTGATTCACACCATCCTTAGGAGGTAGGCTATCTTGCCGTCCTCACCATTTTGTGGGTGAGAAAATTGAGTCACAGAGAAGTTAATTGCGTTGAGTTCGGGCGCTCAGCGGGTAAATGGTTGAGCCAGGGTTCAGAGCCAGGCAGGCTGGCTCCCCAGGGCCCAGGCTCCCTCTCCCCTTCCCCACAGCCACATGGCCCTTGGTGAGAGCTGGCTCGACACCCCCATTGCTGATGACTGCAAAACCTCGGCCAGAGGACATTGCTGGTATTAGAATGATGTCCGGGCTGCATCCTAGAGGTCAAAGTGGGTTATTCTCCATCTTTGAGGCCCCCATGTACCCTTGAATCACATGTGGATTACAGATTATAAATGTTTTTTACTGTTTATTTTTGAGAGAGAGCAAGCACAAGGGCATGTGCAGGGGAGTGGGTGGGGGGGGGGAGGAAGGGGAGGGGAGAAAGGGGAGGAGGGGAGGATGGAGGATCCGAAGCAGGCTCAGCGCTGACAGCACAGATCCTGATGCGGGGCTCAAACTCACAAACCATGAGATCATGACCTGAGCCGAAGTCAGACGCTTGACCGACTGAGCCCCCAGACACCCCCAGGGATTGCAGATTTTAAAACCAGACACACACAGGCAGCAACGCTGTGCCCAGGAGTCAGATGATGAACTCTAGTCGGGTAGGGAATTGTCCTTCTGAGTGTGTCTGTTCTTTCATTTACTCGTTCACCCACTTGCTTAACACACATTCCTGGGGCTTGTGTTCTGGGAGAACAGAGCAGGGGCACTCTCCTTCCTCCCGTGGCTCGGTGCAGTGGGGAGGCCGGGGTGCAGAGGGTGCGTCTTGAATGAGCGACAGTAAGGAGGTGCACGCCAGGCGGCCTCAGAGCTCGCTAAGTCCGCCCTGAGGAAGCACAGAAGGTGTAGAAGGCAGGAGATGGTGAGCTGATGGTGGTGGAGGATGGAACAAAGGAATTCTCTAGGCAGCTGGGCAGACAGAGGGAAGGGCACGGGGCGTTCACGAGAGACCTGCGAAGGTAGAGGGGCAGGAGGGGATGAGAGGAGAGGAAGGGAGGGGAGGGGGAGAGGGGAGAGGGGATGGGAGACGGGGAGGGGGAAGGGGAGTGGGGAGGAGGGGAGGAGGGGAGAGGGAACGGTGGGCCAGGGGCCCTGAGGGCAGTTGAGAGCCGTGTCCAGCTTCGCTGCAGCTCCCGTGCTGACAGTGGGGACTGGATCTGTTGTCTGATCTGCGAGGCGAGGACCCTGGTGCCGGTAGCAGTTTGGGAACGGGTGGCCGACCCCAGAGGAAGGAAGTGCACGGAGATGAAAGAAAAGTCGGATGGGGTCATCTGTAGCCCTCGCTGGTTTGGGGCAGAGGGGATGGGACTGGCTGCCACACGTCTGGCTTGGGACAGCCGGGGTCGTGAAGCTGGGGGACCTGCCGCGCAGGCGAGGAGGTGGCATGTGCTGGCTCTGGGGGGGCGGGGGGAGAAGGCCCGTTGGCGACTGGACTTCCAGCTGGGAAGGAGCCGTGGGGACCCAGGCTGGACACGGAGATGTGAGTGGGCCGCGCAGGAGTCTGTGAAAGCAGGGAAGGTGGGCTCACCTGCGGGGACGGGGGGAGGGAGGGACGCCCGGGGGGGTGGAGGCTGGGGAAGGGGAGCAATCAGCCCCCCGCCCCGTGCGGTAGTGCCCACAGCGGCCGTCTCTCCTTCTAGGTCCCCAGTGCCCGCTGCCGTTCGGCTCGTCGGGCGTGGCTGGTGGCGCGGTCCTGTGCGAGCCAGCGGGCCCCGGGGCGGCCGCCGTCCAGCGCTGTCGGCTGCTGTGCCGCACGGGCTCCCGGAATGCCTTCCTGCCCGCGCCGCTGCTCTGCGGCCTCGACGAGGGGCGCTGGCTGTCACCGCCGCCCCAGCCCCACGCCTGCCAGCGTGAGTGTCTGCCCCGCACCCTGCTTTCTCTCGGGGCTCAGTGCTGAGCACCTGCTTGTTCCCCGCCCGAGGGCAGCATTTCCACGGTGAGCCAGGCGGCATCAGGCACAGGAGACAGGGCCCAATAAAGCGTTTTTTTTTTTTTTTTCTTAATTACAAAAATAGTTACTAATTTTTGGGAGAGCGCAAGCGGGAGAGGGGCAGAGACGGGGCGGCAGAGGATCCAGAGCGGGCTCACTGCTGACAGGCTGTCAGCTGAGAGCCCGACGAGGGGCTCGAACTCAGGAACCGCGAGGTCCTGACCTGAGCTGAAGTCAGACGTCCAACCGACGGAGGCCCCAGGCGCCCCAGCATTTTCTCTTAGAAGGAGTGGCTGTGTTTCCCAGAACCCGAGGGTTAAGCTTTATTTCGGGCTTCTCTGGGACGATCTGCTCTTTGGGAGGTCACCGTTTCGGGCTTTCCTGGGGTGTTGGGTGCAGCAGTGTGTCCGGAGGTAGGGGTGCCAATGGCCTTGTTGGTCACTACGGTGCGGACACGCTCAGAGCCGTTTGCACTCTGACGGTGACACTGCCTCACTGGCCTGGCTCCCGGGTCCATCTGGGGCCCCGCGGCTAATGCCTGGGGGGCACCAGCCGTGGTCACGGTGTGCCCGGGCCCTGTTTGAACATGGCCAGAGCCCCTTGTCCCTGCTCTCCCACTGGGCCTGTTTGCACCCCCACTCAGCTGCGAGGCAGCACTGAGCTCTGACCGCATCCGCCGTGGCTAAGGCTGGCCACAGTTGCGGCCTGGTAAGGCAGGGGCAGATGCTGGGACCGGGCACTGGGTCCCCCTGGGGCAATGGGGTGGTGTCTGAGAGAGAGACCCAGATCCTGGGACTGGCCCGAGTCCCAAGTTCCGAGTGGCTGGCAGAGTGTCAAAAGACAGTATATCTGGCAAAGCATTCTGGGATAGAAAATGTTATCCATAACAAGGTCAGTATGATTTGGACAAATAAGCAGTCTGTCCCCCTGACTGTGACCAAGTGGCCTGGGCCTAAATTAAGACCAGGCTTGTCAAGACTGGATCTAGAGCAAGGCACTTGGCAGAAGAGGGGCCTGAGCCTTGAGCTCTCAAGGGTAAGTGCGGGGCCGCTGTGTATGACTGTGCAGGTTGCGCCCTGAACAACCTCAGAGTATGTCTCTCATCTAGTCTGTGGTGTCTCCTCTTAATTGGCAAAATTGTACATAGTGGCCCTGTTTGAAGGCAAAATGATGTGGCACCTTTTCCAAGGAGAATGTCCAGGCCCCCCAGAACATGAGGCAGCTTGGCTTAGAGGCCGGGGCCGGACAGAGCTTGCTGGGAGGGTGCTACGTAATTTCGAGGACAAGCCATTGAGCCAGGAAGGGTACCGATGCTGAGGATGTCCACACAACACGGTAGCGCTCGCGTGTCCCAAGCTGAAGGCGCGAGGGCTCCTTTGGCAGAGGAGGAACCTAAGACGAGGAAAGAATCCCAGGGGTCTGTTGCCGGCGCCTGCTGACCTCTGGCGCTCGCCCGCAGGGCCCCAGCCGTGGCACACCCTTCAGGCCCGGGCCCGCGTCCTGATCCGGCTCCCACCTGGCACGGGCTGTGACGCTGACGACGCGGCCTCGCTGCTGGCTTTCCGGGTCTTCGTATCAGACGAGCTCGCGGCCCGTGGCTTCTGTCAGATCCAGGTGTGTGCTCCTTAACTTCCACACGAAGTGGGGGCTCGGGCAGGGCTCAGGGTCACCGTGTCAGGGGGTCTCAGGGCTCACGTGGGCCCGGGGTTCCGCTCTCATCCCATTTTACCCGGAGGCAAACCGAGGTTCACGAGGGGAAAGCGCTTTGGCTAATTACACAGGGACAGAGTTGGGATCCACACTGTCACTGGCCATTCTTTCTACAGAAAGGGGTCAAACCAAAGGTGTGCTGAGCACTCGTTACGTGCACGGGGACCCTATTCTTATTCCCATCGTGTGGATGAGGGGGAGGAGGCCTGGAGGGCTGACGTCATTGTCCAGAGGCCAGAGCTGGCTTGGTGGAGCCAGGCAGACGACCTGGGGACGGAGCTGTGACCGCCCAGGTAGTAGCACTAGCACCTGTGCAGGAAGATCCCGGAACGGGGTGCAGGAAGACAGGCGCCAGGATGCGCTCCCTGAACCACCGTGCCGGACGCGTCTCTAACAAGCCTGCTAGGAGGCATTACGGACCTTCCCTGGAAGGAAGATCCTCCATGCCAGCGGACAGACAGACATAGCACCACAAATAACGAGCATCAGAGGCGTTAGCTATGTAATAGGCAAAGGCTTCGGAGGTGTGAACTCACAGGTGTTCACAGAGGAGTCTTTACAAGTCACTCAATTAAATAACTGACTTGTCCTGCTCAAGCTTGTTAACTTAGAGAGCAGCTCCGTTTCAACACCTCACGCTAAGAATTTTGGAGAACGTACGTTTTCAGGAAACTGAAGTCAGAGAGCCGGGATTCTAAACCAAACAGAAACACACAATGCCCCCTTTTTGTTCAAACAAGTTACTTGACAGCAGTTGCAGTAAATATCTGTTAATCGTTGAGCCCTGGCTGTGTTCCTGGAACCATTCTAGAAATGCGGCCTTCCTTATCTCTAATGTTTACCGAGCCCTGCTCAGTGGGCATCAGTAACCCTTATTTCTACGTGTATTAACTGCAGCCCCCTGGGGGCAAGTGAGTTGCCCAAGTTGGATATCCAAACCCAGGTCTGTTTAGACTTTCATTTTGCCACTTCTTTTTGCCATTTTGCCATTTCTTCCCTCCTTCCTTCCTTCCTTCGTTCCTTCTCTTTCTTTTTTCTTTCTTTCTTTTTCTTCCTTCCTTCTTTTTCTTTTCTTCTTTCTTTCTTTCTTTCTTTCTTTCTTTCTTTCTTTCTTTCTTTCTTTCTCTTTTCTTTCTTTCTTTCTTTCTTTTCTTTCTTTCTTTTCTTCTTTCTTTCTTTCTTTCTTTCTTTCTTTCTTTCTTTCTTTCTTTCTTTCTCTTCCTTTCTTCCTTCCTCTTCCTTCCTCCTCTTTCTTTTCTCCTTCCTTCCTTCCTTCCTTCCTTCCTCCCTCCCTCCCTCCCTCCCTCCCTTCCTTTCTACAAATGTTTGAATGCCTATTACCGCCTGGGCATGATTTTAGGCACTGAGGATTATCAAAGATAAATAAAGCCAGACACTAGTTAAAGTGGTCAGCACAGATTTTAATCAGTAATATACTAATACAACAGGGAGAAGAAGTCCAGCATGAACTGGAATCAGGTTTGACTTGTGCAGGGGTGACTGGACCCTCATGGTCCTCAGAGGGAAAGGGGGTTACTACACCTTGCCCACTGGGGTGGGTTGAAGGGAGGATGGAAGGAAGTAGCATAAGCCACGTTCTGGCACCTGGCGTGGGCTCTGCTGCGCTGACCCCGACTCTGCATTCTTGAACTAAAGGTGTCTGTCTCCACGTAGGCAAAGATGTTTGGGGCCTCTGTTTCCGTCCCTGTCTGCGATGGGTCCACAGTGCAGGTAGAGTGTGCGACTGCGGAGCGTTTAGGAGTGAACATCACGTGGAAATTGCGGCTCCAGGATGTCCCCCCGGCCTCTCTTCCTGATTTGCGTGACATCGGTATGTGTTCCTGTGCGTCTGCCTTTTTGTGAGGCAGCCTCTCTGTGGCTCTGTTTCTCTGTCTGTCACATGGAGCCGATGGAGCCTGTGATCCCTTCTTGGGAGGATCTAGCCAGGGTATTGCATACTTGGCCCTTGGAGGAGCCAATGATTAAAAAGTGTGTAAAAATCAATGATGTTCTGTCGGTGGCTCACTGCAGTTAAATAGTGTCACCTGATTGTACTTGTGCAGATATTTTTACATTCTTCCCTTGATTCTGTGTGCCCAAGGGGGAGACAGGGCTGAGGAAGGGGAGAGCAGGTGGGCAACAGAGTCTGTATTGGTTTATATTGTATGTTCTCTACACTTGTAGTTCTAAAGCATCTCAGACCAGTAACACTATTTAAACTCATTATCATACTGTGTAAAGTGGGGCAGGAGTGTGGACAGATTGGGAGAGTAAAAGGACCCAAGGAGGAGCAGAGTGGACTTTGTGACTGGCTGGGAGCCAGTGTAGACAGAATCCACATCATTGACCAGAGGGTGGGGAGCATCCCCTCACCCCCCACCCACCATCCAGTGGCCAGACGCCCAAGGTCAGGACTGGCTGCAGGCAGAGCTCTGTGCTATAAGGGGGAGTCGGGGGTCCCTTTTCATCTTTTTCTGGAAGAAGCCTGGAAGATTCAGGTATGTTTGGAGCTACGAAGGGAGGAGAGGCTTATTCCTGGGGTCCACGCCGATGCCTGTGTTTTCAGGCCTTGGGTCGGCTTTATAGCACAAACATTCATGGCATGCAGGGTCCCGTCCCAGCTCCAGAGGGGGTGCTCACCCGTTTCTTCCTGGGAAATACTCAGGAGTCCACAGCCGGAGGCCTCATCAATGTCTAACCAGCCACAGCCTCCTGGAGGCTCCGGCTTCTCTTCAAGTGGCCCCATCACACACATTCTCCCTTCTCATCTTCACCAACCAAGCACGGCCAGCACCATTTTGCAGATGGGGAGACCGAGGCTCAGAGGTGGTGGCTTGCTGAAGGTTGAGACAGCTCTGGATCTACCTAGTGCGCCTTAAATTAGTGACCAAAGACACGAGGTCTTGTACCAGTGAGGATCAAGAGTGATGCTGCAGCAGTGACAGGATCCAGAGACCTGGGCCAAAGTCTCAGTAGTCCTTCTGACTCCTGTGTGAACTTGGGCCCTTCTGTTGCTTTCTACGGGCCTCGGTTTCTCCCTCTGTAAAATGAGAAACCAGGTAATGCTGGCGTCTCCTTTCCCTGTGGACATTCTATGTCAGAGGCTGGCTCTGGCAGAGTCCGGGGGTCCCTGAAGGATGGACGGTGTCGGCGAGAGAGAGTGACAGAGCCCCGAGATTCTTTCTGATCCCCAGGCAGGCATCTCTGTCCTGTCGGTTTTGGTCTTTATTTAAAGGTTCAGCAACAACATGAAGTCAGAGAAAGGAATTTCTACAATGGGAGGCCTTTTGCGATAACAAGTTTTTGATATTCTGTGGAATTATCCCAGTCATAGTGAATTTACAACCAAGGAATTAACAGGATGCTCTTAGTGAAAAACAGGATAACATATAGGTTAAATTGTATATAGATAAGCTAGGAGTCATTCTGTTTGGCTCTTAAGAGAATGAATGTTTCTGAATTGGTTTGTTTGTGGAAACTATCATGCGGGGCCCTAAATGTGTCAGTCTTTGCACCTGGGTTTATGTTTTAGCTACTCTTATCTATCCTCATCCCAGCTGCCAGTGTAAGGCAGGGTGTTTGTGGAATGTAGGCCTTGAGGAAGGGACTCCCATGCTTCACCAATTAGCAAAGATATATGCAGTAGCTGTGTTCTGCCTTTAACCCCAAAATAGGCTCTTTGTTCCGGGGCCAGGCTCAATTGTAACTCCTGTGTTCTTAACCCCCTTTATTATCTAAGTCTTGGATCTGCAAGGCCCATAGGAAGAACATTTTACAATCATCCACAGTGCTTTCATCTAAAGGCGGGAATATGCTTTTCCTTATGAGGTATCTGTGTTCAGAATATGGGTCTGATATGGAATATTGTGAGGCCTGGTCAATACCAGCAGCCTCATTTCCAACATGAGCCAGTAGTAGCAGAAAGAGATACCAGTTTTCGTTTCTCATGGCAGGAGCTGTACAAACACTGTCATTTCCTTGCTGTGACTGCCGTCCAGCGAGGCTGGCGCAGCTCCCGGCAATTCTAGGTGGCTCTGCCCGCTCATCCCCCCGCCCCCCCACCCCCGGGCCTTGCAGAGAACAGTGTGACATTCCTGCCTCATCGTATGTCTTACAGAGGAGGCCTTCGTTGGCAAGGATCTCATTGGGCGCTTTGCGGACTTGATCCAAAGTGGCGCGTTCCAGCTTTACCTGGATTCCAAGATGTTCCCAGCAGACACCTCCATCTCCTTCCTCCAGGGGGACAGCTTCGGCTCCTCCCCCAGGACATGGTTCGGGTGCTTGGAAGGATTCCACCAAGTCTCGGCCACCGGGACCGATGGGGACCCGATGGGGTGTGGTAGGTCCATCCCCACCCCTGGGACTGCTGTTTTCCGACGAGCGAGGCCCCGAGAAGGGCCGCCAGAGCTCTGGAGACAGTCCCTCTGCGCACAGAGAGTGGGGAGTCCTTCATTCAGCTGCTCGGCAGGTCTGTCAGTGATCCGCCCTACGTGGACAGGCAGTCGTCACCATTAGGTGGTAGCTGACACCAGAGGCGCGCGTGACGTGGCCGAAGGACCCCCTGATGTTGAGCTGAGCCTTCTTAGTTGTTGACTGGCTGGGGCTCTGGGGTCTGGGCGGCACTGCTGACTGTGGAGAAGACTGGGGTCCGCCCTGGGCGCTCCCCGACGTTTCTTAGTCGGGTTACGGCAGCGTGTTACTCACCACCATGTCCAAGCAGCCACTGGGCAGCCCAGGGCTTTCCCAGCCGGGGAGGCGGTCTCCAACGGAGGTTTACTGGGGTTGCCGTCCTCGCCTTTGCCCTAAAGCGCTTTGGAAGTAGGTTTTTCAAGAACGCAGCTGCAGAGGTGTTTGAACAGACGCCGCATGGGGTTCCTGTCGCTGCCGGGACAGATATTCACAAACTCGGCACCTTAAAACAGCACACATCCATTCCCATGCGGCTCCACAGGTTCGAATTCCTCCTCGGGTGGCCCTGGGCTGGAACCAGGGAGTCAGCAGGGCTGCATTCCTCCTGGAGGAGACCTGTTTCTTGGCTACTCCTCTGGCTTCTAGACGTTGCTCGCTTTTCTTGGCTTGTGGCTTCTGCCGTCATCTGCAAAGCAGCGGTTCTGTAGCTCTCTGCATGCTCTTCCAGTAACACCTCCTGGGACCCTCTCCGTCCCTTCTAGGGGCTCTGTGGTCACACACAGCTGGGCAAGCCAGGGCACCCTCCCTACATTGGAGTCAGCCGATCAGCAACCTTGACTCCATCTGCGGCCTCAGTGTCCCTCTGCCGTGTAACCTAACACGTCTGTGGGTCCCAGGGATCAGGATGTGGATGTTTTTTCTTTTTATTCTTTTTTTTTTAATATTTTTATTTATTTCTAGGAGAGAGAGAGAGAGACAGCGTGAGCAGGGGAGGGTCAGAGAGAGAGGAGTCACAGACTGAAACAGGCTCCAGGCTCTGAGCCGGCAGTCAGCACAGAGCCCGACGCGGGGCTCGAACCCACAAACCGCGAGATCATGACCTAAGCGAAAGTCGGACGCTTAACCGACTAAGCCACCCGGGCGCCCCTGTGGACATCTTTTCTGCCTCATGCTTACTCCCAGGGGCTCGTGATGAGAAGCCTTCCTCTCACGTGGCCACGTGGCACGACACAATGAGGCATTGTTGCAGAACTGAAGGAGGGGAGATGTTTCTCGGCTGTTTATTTTCCATTGTTTATATTGGTTGCAACACAAGAACTTCGTGGCCCTTCCTTTTGTGAAATCCACGCCAAGTTCTAAAGTCCACGTTAGATTTAGGTTGCAGCTAATCCTTTTTTTTTAAAGTTTATTTATTTATTTTGAGGCGGGGAGGGAGAGAACGAGTGGGGAAGGGGGAGAGGGAGAGGGAGAGAAAGAATCCCAAGCAGGTTCTGCACTGACAGTGCAGGCTTGATGTCATAAACTGTGAGATCACGACCTGAGCGGAAATCAAGGGTCGGAGGCTCAACCGACTGAGCCCCCTGGGTGCCCCGAGATGCAGCCAAATCTTAACATGGAAACCAGAAATGCGTCCGGTTCACTCACTGCCTGCTAATATTAACAGTGGGTTTTGCAGTTGACAATGCACTTGCATTACTGCTCACACTGACGAACTGACCCGGCGGCGGGTCATTCCCCCATTTGACAGATGAAGGGGTTGAGGCTTGGATGAAAGGAGATACGGCATCGCTAGTGTGCAGGGCAGGCATGACTCAAAGGAGGGACTCAGGTTCAGGAAACCAATGTGTGTGAGTAGCCCAAGTCCTCTGGGGCCGGAGCTCCTGATCTCCCTAACCTCACAGAGCTGCCCAGACAGAAAGGACAAAAAGTACGAGCAGGAGGGGAAGGTGCCACCTGCCAGGGTGGGTGAAACAGGGTCATGGTGACCGAGGTGCGCAGAACACCCACCATTGTGTTCTTGGACTGACCATGAAGAGCCCTGGGCTCCACTTCCCAGTGTATGTGGGGGGGGGAGGGGAGGGGAGAGGGTGTATTGGAGGAGCAGGGGCAGGAGTCTGACTTTATGGTCACCCCAGGCAGTGCTGGGAAGGGGGTCCGGGAACCCCACGTGGCCGCACATCCTGGAGCGTGTCGCCCAGGGGTGGAGGGACGGGACATGGGGACACGTGCTGGTCAGGGACCGGGTCACAGGACTGTACCAGCTCTCTTTCCATTCCCTCCCAGGGCCCATTTCCTGCACGTAAAATAAAGCTCTGGTCCAGAAACCTGATCCTCAGTTTCCTTCTGGGGAACTCTTGATTATTAGATTGTTACTTCGTGTCTAACAGGACAGTTAGCCCAGCTCCACTGCGAGGCAGGAGGGAAGCTGATCCGGGCACAACGGTCTTGTCTGAAGGGCTTTAAACAGTGGAGACACTGGGGGCCACAACTCAGGGTGGCTTCAGGGACCTGGGAACCACAGGGTGGCCTGGAAATGCGACTGAATGGCAGGCTCTTCGGGGCTACATTTGCTGCAGGACAGGAGACGGCCACCTTCTTCCATAAAGGGCTGGAATGCAAGTATTTTAGGCTTTTTTCTCGATGACTTAACTCATCCATTGTAGGGAGAAAACCATGGCTGTGTTCTTTTCTGTTTGTTTTAATGTTTTTATTTGTTTCTGAAAGAGAGCAAGACAGAGTGCAAGCAGGGGAGGGACAGAGAGAGAGACACAGAATCCGGGGCTTGAACCCACAAACCGTGAGATCATGACCTGAGCTGAAGTTGGACGCTCAACCGACTGAGCCGCCCAGGTGACCCATGTGGCTGTATTCGAATAAAACTTCATTTGATAAGCAGAAAGGTGACCTGAATTTGGCCCATGGGCTGCAGGTCGCCAATCCTAACTCTAGATAATGCTTCATTCTGTGTTTCAGCTGCTGCTGTAGCTTTTTTTTTGTAATGTTTTATTTATTTCTGAGAGAGAGAGAGAGAGAGATAGTGAGCAGGGGAGGGTCAGAGAGAGAGGGAGACACAGAATCTGAAACAGGCTCCAGGCTCTGAGCTGTCAGCACAGAGCCCGATGCGGGGCTTGAACCCATGAACCATGAGGTCATGACGTGAGCCGAAGTCGGATGCTCAACCGACTGAGCCACCCAGGCGCCCCTGCTGTAGCTTTTTACTGACCCCAAAGAATTGTCAATCATGCCACGCAGCCCTACCTCCTTACTGCAAATAGAAAGGTCTGGAATGGAGTTCACGAAAATCCAGCCCTGGAAACCTGGGATTTTCTCCCGTACTGATGGTCATGCCTCTTTGTTATTGACCTTCTAATAGGTGCTGGGGCCTCCTTCGCATTTCTCTGGTCCACAGGGTCAGGCATCACTGAAGCCACGGTATGGCTGAGGCACCCAGGCGCCCATAGTTATAACTATTGGGAGACTGCTGTTTGAAGCCAGGCAGACCTGGGTTCGAGTCCTGGCCCCAACCCTTCCTCCGCTTGGGTTTCTGAGACATCGCTTATCCTCACGAGGCATTGTCCGAAGTAGAGAGAAAATACCACAGATTTCGTGGGGGCTGTGGCTTGCGTGGCACGATGCAATCAGTGCATCTCTTCCCACCTGGTGAGCCCTCAACGGATGGCTTTGTTGGTTGGCCACACTGCCATCTGAATCCAGCCCTTCCGATTCCCGGTTCTTTGTTCCCTGCCTGGCACGGCTCTCTGCTCAGCAAGGGGGCTCTCCGTGCCATCATGGCCTTGGGTCCTTGCAGCTGTTTCTGCGGTCCTTTCTCCCTCTGAGGCACACCTGGGGCACAGCTGTGAGGCGGCAAGCAGAGCATTGTCCTGGGGAGACGACGCAGGGTTTCTGGGTATCGCCTCTGAGGGGGGGCGGGGGGCTAATCTGTACGATCCCCTCGGAGGGCAGTGACTTGGGGGGGATGGGAATACCCACCTCCTGTGACTCACGCTGGCTTAGCAGCTCTGCCCCCGGGGACAGATGCCACAGAGAGGCCTCGGCTTTTTTTGCAGCTTCAACGGGGTCAGTTACGTCCACCTTCCTGCCTCAAGGCCAAGCGCATGGCTTCCCTTCGGAATTACCCGCTGGCAGTCTCCTTCCTGGTTTGGTCCAGGAAGGAGAACCTTGGAGAAGTTGTCCGGGTTTTCCATTCTCCATTCTGGACCGCATTAACCTTCATTCGCTACAAGTTCTTCTAACAGAGCTCGTTCTCTATGGGTTTTTTCCCCCCAAAGTAACATCTTACGTCTTGTTTCCTTCCACTCCGTTCCTCCCTCTTCTCGCCTTCGTCCCATGTACGCGTGTATCCATCCATTGAAGCTTTCCAAGTATAATTAGGTGTTAGACACCAGGTTTAATAGTCAGCTTTCAAAGAACTCAGAGGGTAGGTGGGGAGAGAAATGAGAAGCCAGCTGGGTATCGTGAGACAGGCTTCTCCGTCCCAGGCTGGGCAGGTCAGGGAAGGCTCGCTGGGGTAGCTGGGCTGCGTGAACTCTTGAAAGGCAGGTCGGAATTGTGGCTCAGGTGAGAGCAGGCAAAGAGCGGGGTGTGCACGCGTCTGGGTGTGCGTGCACGTGCCTGCACGCGTGCATGTGCATGTGTGCCGAGGGCGCCACAGTGTGGAAGGGCTTCTGGAAGTGGAGATTAGGGCAAGGCTTCGTGGGCCTGTGACCGTATGATGACAGAGCTGTGTAGACAGTGGTCTATATGGCTGGAGAGTGGGCTATGTCAGGATGTGGCGGAACCCAGGAAGGGAGAGGCCTGGGGCGGCCTGCGGGGGGTGCCGGGGATGAGCTCCAGGTTGGGGAGCGACAGGGCCAGGTGCGGGGCTGCGCGAAGCGGCTAAGGGTGTGAAGGACCGTCACACTTCCCCACACATGCTTTTCTTCAGCAGAAGCATGGCTGCCGTTGTTGGGGGTCCATGGGGACGGGGCGGCAGGAGGGATGGCTGGCCTGGAAGCTTGGGGAAGCCCTCCAACTCAAATAGGCCGGGCTGTCTCATCTTATGAAGGGGGGCACGGAGAGCAAGGGGGTCTCTGAGGGTTCCGTGGAGGGCGTCAGTCGAAAGGTAGGCGCTAACTTGTTGCTGTGGGCGGAGGGGTGTTGGCGAGCCAACGTCTGCCAGAGGAGGGGTGAGGCTATCGAGCCTCGTTCTGACCTGAACACAGTGTTTCCGTGGGCGGAGAGGCTCTGATGGCACAGATGGAGAGAAGCAGGACGCGGTTTCCTCAAGCATAGATGTGAGGCCCGCAAGTCACTGTGCTTGCGATAAAAGTCACTCTCAACTCTCTTCTTCTGCCCTCCACCCACCCCTCGGTTTTGGAGGTCGGGCAGCTCGAGCTGCAGAAAGTGGCTTTGTTTTCCTTTGGCGATGAATTTGGGGACCACTTGAAAAAGTAGTCCCAGTCCTCAGTTTAAAGTACTGGAGCCGATCGGCGACCTGACTCATAGGAGTCATGAAACCCCACTTCTCCGAGGGAGGGGATTCATTGTTCGGGGGCAGACCGGAAAACACACCGCTCGGTTTCCAGGCCGTGTCTGGAGTTTTTGATTGAGTCAGACGTGGCGAGCGTGTGTGCGTGCTAGAGATGGTGGCTCAGTCAACACTGGCTCCATGTCCCACGCGTCTGCACCTACTTCTTTGTCAAGGGAAGGTGGTTGAACTGGTGGATGGAGAGAAGGCTTTGGTTTTCAGGGAATGGGGCTCAAATGCCACCTCTTTCAGCTTAGCACCCGGTCCACCTTGACCTTGAGCTTTAGCTTTTTCCAGTCTAGAAAGAGGATGGTGATTCTTTCTTTTTTTTTTTTTTTTTTTT